TGCGGCAACTGACTCTGTCTAGGTTCTCGTTTGGCTACTTTACCGTTCGTTTTTCACGTGGCTCCGCGGACATTTTCTCTCAGCTGAGCCCCCCCTCTGCAGGCACTCATTCCGATCGTCCTCAACTGCATTGCTTGCGTTGGCTGGTCCGTCGTCAACTCCATCGTGGGTGCCCAGACTCTGCGTGCAGTGAGCAGCAGCCACCAGATCCCCACCGCTGCAGCCATCATCGTGATAGCCGTCCTGACGATTGTCGTGTCTTTCATGGGCTATCGCTTTGTCCATATCTATGAGAAATATTCTTGGATACCCGTATGTACAGACAGCTGTGTTTTAATCGCTCGGCTTCTGACCTCGGTCTTCGTATTATTCAGGTCGCCATCATTTTCTTCATATACCTTGGAGAGATCGCTCGATACTGCGTCAGCGGCCCATGGGGCGGCACGGGCCCAACCGAAGCTGCTAATGTCCTGTCTTTCGGTGCTGCTATCGGTCCGTCGCGCATACATGCTGATAGTTATGCATTGTACCTGACCTTTCTCTGTCGCCAGCCGGATTCGCCCTTGGTTGGACCTCCCTCGCCGCGGATTACACCGTCCGGATGCCAGAGGACATGCCCACTTGGAAAATATTCTTCTGGACGTACCTCGGGTTGAACATTCCGCTCATCCTCGTTGAGGCGCTTGGTGCGGCTGCCATGACGACCTTCACTGCCAAGACCACCTGGGGAGACGCGTACGCGGAAAACTCCATCGGCGGGCTGCTCGGCGCAGGGCTGTCGGGGCCCATGGGCGGATTCGGCGGGTTCCTGCTCGTTATCATTTCGCTGTCGATTGTCGCGAACAACATTCCGAACATCTACTCGCTCGCGCTCACGTTCCAGAACATCCACCCGTACGCACAGGCCATCCCGCGTGTGTTCATCGTCCTCGTCGGCAGCGCGATCTACATCGTGCTCGCCATCGTCGGCGCGTCCCACTTCGAGGAGTGGCTCGACACGCTGCTCACGATCCTGTCGTACTGGCTTGCGATATTCACCACAATTCTGCTTGAGGAACACTTTATCTTCCGCAGAGGAAAGTGGTCGAACTATGAGCCGGATGAGTACAACAATTGGCGCAAGCTCCCGCTCGGCATTGCATCGCTGATCGCTCTCAGTATCGGTGTCGGTGGTGCGGTTCTCGGTATGGCGCAGGTCTGGTATATTGGCCATATCGCGCGACATATCGGCAATCCCATGTATGGTGAGTTTTAGCACAGTTTCCACATATCACGGAAATGCACTGACGCGCTGTTGTCACAGGCGGAGACATTGGCTTCGAGCTCAGCTGCGCATTCACTGCTATCGTGTTCCCGCCATTGCGGTATATTGAGAAGAGGTATTGGGGATACTAGGAGATCCATTACGATATACATAGAGTGTAAACACACGCTCGCTACGTCGAGATGTAATTTGCTAGTTATGTAGGCAATGATTTTGGTTTATCTGTGTCATTCTCAGTGAAATTTGCCCCAGGCACAGGAGGTGAGTCTTGATCGACCAAGAAGTGACTCGGCTCGGAGCAGACAAAGAAAAAAAGACTTTGAGACAAAGACAACTAAGACATGCCAGATCGGGTCTCAAAATTTGTCCATAGCTATCACACACTATGCAATACTAACCTGTCTGCCCCGTATCTGTCCCAGCAAAGGCAATCTCATACGAGCTGAGTCAATAAGAGGGCACTGTCTTTCTTGGTTCGCATGCTCTGGCCCAATCTCGAGAGACGGACGGCGACGCACCCGCATTTCAGATACTGAGGATAGGCAGGGCCCGGCATCTGAAACGGGGAGATGAACCATATTGTACATCAAGTCAGGGTGCCCTCTGTTTTCGGGATGCGGGAGATGCTCGGGGCGCGAGCCTCAATACACGTTCGCGGCGGCGCCGGTTACAGGTGCGCCCAAGGCTCTGCCTATGTCGTCTACGCGCCGCCGAAACGCCTTCCACTTCGTCCCGCCAGCAGAGAGAGACACCGCGTGGTCGTTCACGTTCTCGAGCGGCGTGCTCAGCTTCAGGAACGGGTTTGCGACCGAGAGGCGGTACGCCGTGTGCAGGGCGCGGAAAATCTGCGGGAAAGGCGTCGCGATTATGCGTGAGGACAGAGGAGAGCGGGGGCGGATATGCGGGGAAAATACGCACCGTGATGACGTCCACGTCGCGTACGACAGTGTCAGTGAGCGCGAGCGCGATAATGATTTTGACTCGCAGCGGGGTCACGTAGCCGTATACTGCAACGTCCTCCATCGTGTACAGCAAATTCAGATAACACTCCGTTGACTTTGCTGCCGCTGCAGCCGCAACTGAGGGATTAGGCTGAGATCAGAAGTTGGTCGCATTGCGCCAGAGCGGGAGGCAGCGCACTGCGTTCGTCAATCACGTCGAGGCTGGTGTGGGCTATATAGTGGTACTTGAGCTCATCTTGGCGAGGCTGCGCTAACGTTCGGATGAGAATGGGGTGATTCTGCGGCGAGACAAAGGCAACTGCGTTGAGACGGAGCTGAGGCGGCATGACGGCGAGAGGAATGCTTGCGCGGCTGGGGGATCACACCAACGTTCCACATGGGCCGAGTCGAGTTCGAGCTCTGTTCGAGTCTACAGACGATCCCTCGCGCCCGAAATACATTTCACAATTCTTCGCTCATTCGCACGATGCTGCCTTCTACAGTTCCGTTTATCTCATCATGCCCATTCCCGAACCCGTTCGGGAAACAAGCCATCAAACTCAATCCCCACCACAATGTATAGCCTGCGAGGCGCGAGACCCGATGAGTGCGACGAGACACGCGGCGCGATAAGGGGCCCTCTCATCGTCATTCAGAACGTCGAAAGCATGCGAGATGGATCTGAGAAAGAGAGGGAATATGAAGCAACACTACCATAACATAAGGGCAACACAAAGGGATGTAATGTCTATACCGAGCCAGTAGAGTAGTACCGCCACGCAAAGTACGCGCCCAGCATCGCCAAAGGAACGAAGTACATCATACTAGGAGAAAGGTAAGATGAATACGAGGCCACGTCAGCACAGCAGAACTTACTTTGAGCCTTGCTGAACAGCAGCGTTGACGGCGTGACTGCTCGAGGAGTTGCTATCGTAGACAGGCTTAGTCTTGAGAGACTGTAATCATCGAGCCAGGGATTCAGTGGGGAACATAGCAGACGAAAGGCAAAGAGCTTACGCCGTTCTTCTCAAACTCGCCAACGAAGAGAGTCTTCAAGATTTCACGCGCCTCATCGGAATGGCCGACGTCCTCGAATGCTTCGGTTGCGTCTTTGCCTGTCGAAAGCTACGTGTCACCTCTGCAAGACACCGCGATGTTTCATCGAAAGCGTACCGGTTTCAGCCAAAATCACCTCGTCTCCTCCGGGATGCTGCAGGACGTGGCTGAGGCCTTGAAGCGCACATTGATGCGCAGAATACATACCTCGTCAATGAATTTTGCGACATTGTACACTGACACGAACGTCAGGAAGAGTGCACTTCTATTTGCAGGGACTTTTCTCACATACCCTTCTCGTGGATCAAGACGTAAAGACTGTCCTTGGTGTTGTTGGCCTTGAGCTCCTCGAACGTGATAATTTTGGAGTCTGACATGGCGGCGGCGGCGGCAGCGGCGAGCACACAGAGCAAATGGGGAGAGACGAACCGGCTAGAGACAAGTCGGTCGAACGATTGGATGCGTTTTATGCTTCGGCTGAGGCCGTTCGTGGTTTCACACGTGGTAAACTAAAATGACACCCGTCTCCGTGTAGGATCGAAGCTGGTTTAGTTCGGGGCAGAGCTACAAATCCTACTCGTCTAAGCTGCTACATAATGCATGCACAATAATACAACTCATGCGAGATGATGCCGGTATGCAACGGAAAATGATTTAGTGGGAACGGACACTGCAGCGTGCCAGTGCAAGCGAGAGGTGCAGTCCGGAAGATTCGGAGCAGGTTGATGGGGAGCACGCGGCGATGGCCATTCATTCGAGTTGCATTTTGACGAGTACATGCCAAACGCCGTACGAGCGAGGTACGAATTACACCGGGAGGAGGAAGGAAAGTGAGGGGATATGCGAACTGCGCGCTGGCCGTCGAGCGGAGCGCTGTCAAGGCCACGTACACAAGCGAGGAGCGTGGATCATGGGCAAGCTGAGAGCGAAGCACAGCGTCGCGTCCCAAGCCAGCCAAAGTGCAGAGCCTCCAAGCGAGAGCCACCCAGACGTGGCACCGCGCCTGTATTTAAGCTCCGATTCGGCCACAAGTCGCCCGGCACCTTTACTTTTCTGCGAGACCCCACGCTCTTGTCTCCGCCGCCGCCAGCAGTTCCCTCCTCCTCCTCCTCTCCGTCATGCCCGACGACTCCTCCGATATCCTTGGCGGTCGTCTCCGTGTCTCGCAGCATGGATCTCCACGTCAGGTCCCTCCGTTTCTCTGGCTAGGCATTGCACTCTTCTCTTTGTATCTCGTTATCCGGTACGGCATTCCCCAGTATCGCCAATGGCGCGATCAGGCCCATCGCAAGTACGTTTGTCGCTCCCTTTTCCTAACGCACCGAGCTCACAAATTCGTTCAGAGGCGTGCGCAGACGATATGGCATCCCCGACTCTGACCACAGACCGTTCAACGTAGCTTATGCAAGCGTATATCAGGGTCAACGAAGGGAACCGGAGACGGAGGATCAGCTACGACCAAGGCGAAGCGAGCCTCTGCAGCAAGCGTTTCGACCAGCTTCCACAATGGATGGGAGTTACATGCGACACCGCGCGCATCATTCATCCGGTATGTCAGCTCCCGTGCCTTTGCGTCATCATGCAGCACCACTCATCTTTGTGCAGATCACCGCAACATCACTATAGGTGTTGGTACGTCTGCAGCGGGTTCGTCGATGCAACAGGGAACATATCCGTCTACTAGCTATTCCGCGTAAGTCTCAAGAATCTTGAATAAAATTCTTGAAATTAATTTCTTCAGTAGACCCGCAGTTGACTATGCCTCGGATCTCCCTGCGCAGGCCCAAAATGATGCACACGATGATGTTCCCACGTCTGCTACAATGAGTCAGTCGAGTAGCAATGACGTTTTGGCTGCGTCCATGAAGATCAATGGCAAACACGATAGAGACGAGGAGCCTATTCCTTTCTCAGACAAGAAATCGAGAGTTTCCAAAGGCCGTCCAGTTGCTTCGAGTGATGATGAGATAGATGACAGTGAGAGGTCGGATATTGGTATGGAAGTTGATGAAGAGGCCCTTGAACCGCCGAAGAGAGGTTCCAAGCGATCGGCCAACGTTGACGATGATGAGAGCATCGAGGCTATTCGAGCAAACGGTAGAGACAAGAGAGCGCGTAAGGTATCTCGCGAGACGGCGTCAGAGTTGTCAGACCTGGAGATGTACGACGAGGACATGGATGCTGACGAACTCGGTGAACTAGAGCCCATAAGCAGGGGAAAGAAGCGGGACAGAGATGAGGCTGGGTCTACTTTCGGCGGAGATGGGTCCATGACTGACGATGATAACGATGAAGGGGACGGAAAGTCTCGACGCCACAGAAAGAGGCGTACTGTCTGGCGCAAAAACCTCGACACTGCTAGTCGTGGTCAGAAGCGCGGTCGCGATGTCGAAGCATTCGATAGTGATGAAGACTCCGACAGGCCCAAGCGTCGTGATACACGCAAAAAGCGTGGAAAGAAAGGCCATGCCCCTGATAATTTAACCGTTGACGCTCCATTATCTGTTGATCCTTTGTGTAAAGGACGACGGATTGGAGAAAAATGGGAGGTAAATGGTGTGCGTTTCAAAGTTGGCCCCAACGGGCAACGGCTTCGGCAAGAGCTGGTGAAGAAATCTCGTTCAAGATTCCCGATGGTGCGTGTACGCATTGCAATTTCGTTGAGCTTTGATCGCTAAGGGACGTTGTTTTTTTTTTGTTAGCCAAAGGACTCTCAGCATCCAGACCGTCGCGCAAATTTGGACATTTATGTAGAGGTTTGGTTATCTGAAGAAGAGTATAATGCTGCCAAGGAACGGAATGAGCTAGCATGGCAAGATTCGCCGTTGGATTTGGTTGAGCCCTCTACGCCTGGCGATATCCCTGTATGTACCAACTTGTGTTTTCAGATACTGTGTCTTACCACTACATTATAGGATTCTCCAACAAGAGCTGGGAAGAACTTGTTATGGATGTCGACAAACACACTACAAGACAGCCCTGTGCCATCCAAAGGACCTTTCAGGCAATCTATTGCGGCGAATGTCAGTTTGCGCATCAACCCATTCCAGCAATCTATGGCAAGTCCTGCTCGTCGTGTCTCATCTGTGTATCAGGTTACCGTACCACCTACACCAGATAGCCCGAAGTTGAAAAGCTCTAGGTCCTACTCAAAATGGGAGAAGCAAGACTTAGAGGCTGCCGCGATGTCTAAGATCAGAGAAAAGGCGCAAATGGAGGCTACCCAAGCTGCAGAAGCCAAGAAGGCTGTCACCCCTTCAGCTGCTGCACTCGCGTCGGTCCCTGCCCCTGGCCCCCTCCCTGCGTCGTCTTCCTTGACGTTCGGGAAGCCGGCAGAGCAACTCGGCGCGAAGAACGACCAGAAACCGGTTGCGTCTTCGTTGTTTTCAGCACCTCTCACTATTGGATCTTCTACAAGCTCTCCTCTGACATCTAACATACCTACTGCTGCTGCTGCTGCCGGTGCAGCTCAAACGTCCGTACCCTCCATCTCCTTTAGCCTCCCGCCAGCGCCTATCACGGGAGCAGCCAAGGACAAGCCTACTGGTCCTGCTACGTTCACGTTCGGTCCTTCATCTTCGTCCACTCCTACAGCCACGCCACAGGGATCAGCTGTAGGAGGACCAGCCCCTTCGGCGGGGCCATTGTCCCAGACATCAGCTTCGGGAAACAGTGTGACATCAACGAATTTCTCAGGTGGCTCCATGACACCCTTCGGTGCTCCTAGTGTCGGATCATCTGCTGCATCTACAACCAAGCCCACGTTATCGTTTGCAGTGCCTTCCGGAATCAATACTTCCGAATCTGTTGCCAAAGGTGCTGAGCAGGGTAAAGCAACACAAACTTTGTCAGGGCCTTCCTCATTAAACAGGTTGGGCGGTACTTCGACTACTGCAACTCCTGGTTCAATCTTCTCGTTCGGAAAGCCAGCGGCGTCAGACACCACCGGGCCAGCCAATACAGTGCCTGCAGCACCCTCGAGTAGTGATGCGAATACTAGTTCCGCTCCTGGAGCGCTGAAGTTTAGTTTTGGTGTCTCGGGCAAGACCTCATCTACTACATCAGTTTCCGCTCCTGGTCCTGCTGCAACACCTGTACCCGCAACCCCTGCGGCCACTGGAGGAGACGCTACAAAGCCTACGTTTGCATTCGGAGTGAGTAGTGCGCCTGCACCATCGACTTCAACCCCAGCTTCCACACCCACCACCAAGCCAACTTTCAGCTTCGGTAACACTTCTCAGGCGAACACTTCGACTACCCTTGGCACCACTACCAATCCTCTGACAGCGCCTAAATCCGCATTTAGTCTAGGGACTCCAGGTAGTTCGTCTTCCAGCACACTTTCCACAACGCCGATGAGCTTGCCTGCGAGTGGGTCAATTTTTGGTGGTGCATCGTCGACGAATAATGCGGCGCCCAGTACTACTGGACCTTCGCAGTCGACTTTCAAATTTGGTTTGACGGGAGGGTCCACAGCTACGCCAGTATTCAGCTCGTCAACGACGCCATCAGCATCGGCTTCCACGAGTGCGCCGAAGCCGGCAATAACTTTTGGGACGACTAGTTCGATGGCCCCATCAAACACGACGGCCTTGAGCTCAACCGCGGGCGAGACACAGAAACCTGCATTATCTTTCAACTTTGGGGGGACTGGCACGTCTGCATTTGGTGCCCCGACAGCTGCCGCGTCGCCTTTTGGTAATGTCAAGCAGAGTCCTTCTGCGTTTGGGTTCCCCAACCCGCCTTCATCTTCCTCCGCTCCCAGTCCGTTCACCTTCGGATCTTCGAATGCGAATCAAAATTCAAAGCAATAATATGTTGCGTACAAGACTGTGTTGTGTCCGGCTCTTATTTCTTCTGTACACACCTTTACCTTTTAGATAGTGTAGCATTTTGGATGTGCCCTTCGACGTATGTTCCCGGTTTTACCATAAGTTATCTGCATTTGGCTCGGTCTCTTACACAAAATGGAATGGTTGGGTGTTGGTTTCGAGATCAAAGAAGTGATGGACTCATTATTCTGCAACTCAAAGTAACCCGGGTGCTGGCATGACGGTGCTTCAACAGCATGAGTTCCGCCCTGGTTCCGGCTCGGGTCGATCGACGGAGGCTGACGGTGTCTAGCTGTCAGCCGCCACGATTCGAGTACTCTTTCACCTCGGCCTGTACACCTCTGAACTCTACATACATACCGCGACTACTGAACACTCTTTTCTGGCTGAGGGCACAATCTTATAACCTCTCCTTTCTGCGTAATGTCTACTACAACACCTCGTCCACGCCCCCCAGCTAAGGCTCGCCGAATACCTTCCATGCAGGTTCCCAGGTTTCCCCCTCCACCTTACGCCCTCTCTCTTGACCAGATAGTCTTGGATGCTACTAGCTCTGCGTCTACGAACCAGGATGGTTCGACTGCCCCCGATGACTTTCCCCTATCTTCACCTACCCGCGAGGCTGACGAGTGGATGAACGAGAAATCCCGAGAGGAGCTGTCAGGTCTGCTCCTAAAGGCGGACGAGATAATAAAGTCCCGCGAGTCAGGTATGTTTGATGCAGCAAGGTAATGCATGAAATATTGGGCAAGAGCTGATCATAGCATCATGGTACTCAAAGAACTCAGCGTAACCACTGCCCTGTGCAAGTCCCTTTATCACGACAACGTCGCACTCAAGAATAAGCACGAGTCCCTGCTTTCGCGCCTCCCTTCGTCAGCCGCCTCAACCACTCCCGTCTCCCCGATTATTGCCCCTTCCTTCCCTTTGCTGTCGCCTCAGTATAGTGAACTCGATCTTTCACGCTCCTCTGACCATCTCCCCGAGCCGTTTGCTGTGCCTCGCATCCGCCACTCGCGAAGAATCTCGGTCACGCCTTCGGACCTCGCACGGCTTTCCGACCAGAATGCAGAACTCATCGATAAACTGGAGAATTTGGAGCTCGAGTCGCAGCAGGCCGACCAGGCGGGCAAGCGTAAACTCAAGAAACTCGAGCACGAGATCCAGTGCCTTCGCGATGAGCTCGAGAAGACGCAGTTGAAGGAGGCGGAGCTTGAGCAAGAGCAGACTCGCGCGGCTCAGAACTTGAGTATGGAGGAGGCGCAGAGGCGAAAGGAAGAGCGCGAGGAGCGGGTAAGGGTCTTCAAGGAGAAAACTAGCTCGATGCCGGAATCTGAATCGCTTAGCGAGCAAATTCGAGACTTTGCGCCTCCGTCTGAGCTGTCTCGTTCTACATCCCTCAAGACTCCTTCATCTATCACTGTGAATAATTCCCTTCCAGAAAGGTGTCCGGAGAATTGTCCTCCTGCATCGGAAGCAGTCACGCCCGACGAACATCCACAATATCCTACTCCTCTGATGTCCTGGGGTCGTTCTCAATCGAACGCCGAGACGGCCATCATCGCTCAGCTGCTCGTTAAGATTCGTGAGCTCGAGGAGACGAATGCCCAGATCAAAAGTGAGCAATTGGTCACCGAGGACCGGCTTCGCTCCGTCCAGTGGGATGCAGAGAGTATTCGCAGGGTCTACGACTGTCTCAGCGATGGCAGTGACATTGAACTGGAGGTCGTCCCTGACGATGGCTTGGATGGCAGCCCAACGAAAGACAGACGAATTCTCTCTGGCGGGACAATCAAATTCAGCAGCTTGCGACGAACGATCCACCAAGACCTGAGTCGACTTGTAGACTCGGAGGACGCGGATGGTTTCGCTGATGGGATTACCCCCGACATGCGAAGCACTACTCGCGATCCTGGTGCTCCCAGCAAGCCTAGCGCTACGCATAGAATGCGCAAATCTGTGGTGGGCCTGTTCGATACCGAATCTCAGGACTCTGTTCCATCGGTAGAATCTCTTCGCGCACACGCAATGTTCTTTCCTTCCTCTCCGATGAATTATCAGCCTACACTCGGCGACATCTCGACATGGTCCACTGCTGCTACGGATGGAGAGGCGCCGTCGTCGCCTGCTTGGAGTGACGCACTACCGACGCCCACAGAAGCTCCCGGACATGGGCTTGGGCGCACCCTAGGAAGTGAACTTGGCTCTGAGTTCGGCGATGACTGGGGTACCAATGCTGGGAATCATCACCTACGGACAACTAGTTTATATGATCTCTCCGGGATGGACCTCTCGCGCGATGCTTCCATGTCACCCAGTGTTAGCGAGCGACCTGCATTCGTCTTCCCCGTGACCGATGATATTGGCCCAACTGAGCCAGGGCCTTGCGAGGATGAGCTAATGACGGACATGGAGCCTTCGACACCTCCACGCGTAACTGCCTTACAGCTCAACGTAGAACCCCCAACCCCAACACCTGAGAAATTGCAGAAGCCTGCGAACGCTAGGCAGTACAAACTCTCTCAGACGGTTCGCTCGCGCACAAATCGGTGGATCGAACGACGCTATTCGCCATCACCGTCGTCGGAACCTCCGCCGAGGCGACCTGTTGCTGGAACGTCGGTCAGGAGACGGTCAGGATTGGACTCGCTCACCTTCTTTGACGAGTTCGACAAGCAAGCGCCTCTAATCTCGCGCACGGGCCGCAGAGGTCGCATACCCACATTCCCTGCGGAGGGTGATTATGAAACGGACGAAGATGACTGGGATGGAAGGGTGGACCGCTCTGTCCAGCTTCGTGCCGACACTTCGGGCATTCTCAACGCAGAGGGCGGTGAGCAGAATGGTTTCACGGGGCTGATTCTCGGGGCGTGGCTCTGGCTCCAGTTCTTCCTTGTCATCATCATATTCATATGGACGATGGCTAGGCGCGGGCCCAAGAATGTACTGGCAGAAGCAGAGCGGCGGCGGACTCGTACTGGCAGCATTACTGGACCTATTATGTGATTTTTCGTGGTTTGGAGCACGTTATTACTCTGTTGTATATTTGTTGTATATTAGGAATCCTTAATTATGCCTAAGTGTGAGTCTGTGATCTATATGGTTTCTGGTGAGTCCATCCTGCGCGTATGGCGATGGGGTCTCTTCGCACTAGATAATGGGCCGTGGGCCCGGGACGCGCTGCGAGCCTGCACAGTGCACTCACTTCAGACGACGCGATCACGTGTAGCGCGTCGTCTACCACTTGACTTGATCGGGGAAAGTCCGGGACCGGGGAAGTTCATGACGCTGGTTCAACGCCTAGGCTGCGTCACGGCGTTGGGTCCGGTGAGGCATGGCTATCGTGAGTACTAGGTATTCTCAGAAGACTATTCGTCCGTGCTCATCATCCCTCACCACATCCTAGACTAGCTCCCCCATCATCCCTCCCCTGCCCGTACCAATTCAAAGATGAAGGTGAGCAGAGCCAAGTCCGACTTGGAAGAATGATAGGGGATGGTGGTAATCTTGGCTGTGTAGGTGGTTACGCAGGAAGAAATGGACGCGCACATGCGCGCGACCATCGTTGGTGGCGCAAAGGGCTTCACGGGCGGGCTCGCTGTCGCCCTTCCAATATCCTATGCGCTCAATCGTCGCTGGGGCTACTATCGCCAGCTGCCGCCATCCTTAAAGGCATTTGGCGTGATTATGGTCGCCGTCCCTTCCTTTGTTATCAGCGCTGAGCGTGCTGGACTCCGATTTGAGAAGGAGCACTGGTACGTGCATTGGATTCAGAATGTGTAATCAACTGACAGCATGCGCTCCGTTCATATTCAGGACGGATCTAGGGAAGGAGGAGCTAGACGCGAAGGTGGCGCGCGAGCAGGCGCGCTGGGAATCCCTCAGTCTATCCCAGAAAGCCCGTGATGTCGCTGCAAGACACGAGTACGGCTTCATTGGAGGTGCATGGGCCGCGACCATGCTCGGTGCATTCGGCTACATTATGCGCAACCCGTGCGTGCCTTGTCCGTAGCCGCCCTGCCCTGCTAATGCATGTGCAATGAGATAGGTATCAAACCTTTCCCCAAAAGGTGGGCGGTCCGGGCGGAGACGACGACAAATCGGTCAAATTCAGCTAATTGTTCTCGTCGTTATGCAGGTTGTTCAAGCGCGTATGTGGGCGCAGGGTCTGACAATAGGCATCCTCATTGCGGCCGGTGCTTTGACACACGCAAAGAGGATGAAGGGAGCCGAGGTGGACGAGCATGGCCGGCGACACATCGTACGTAAAAATAGAGCCATTTCCTTGCTTGCTGCAACGTTTTATGACACCCAATAGGAGCCTGATCATTCATGGCAAGACATTATCGCGCAGGAGGAACAACATGCCAAAGAGGAGGCCAACAGAAAGGCGGTATGAGTGATCGGACGCCCAAAAATAACGCATGTAAAGCACGTTGGGACGATATCTGCATTGTCTGTAAATCAGGTGCCGTGATATGGTGATGGTCAGTACAGCGCTTCCATTACACAAGGGCCACCCGCGCCTAATGAGTTTGTCATCGGAGAGCCCGGGATGCAGGAGTCAGCTTGTGTCGCTCATACCTGACAAATCATGCTTGAGAACATCACGGCGACGAGCGGATGGGCTTGACATAAGGAAATGACAAGCCCAGATGTGGGAGCATGGTGGGCAGAAAAACAAGGTTTGAATTCTAGCTGCCGATGTTGCATTAGATGGCACGAGACAGACCAGAAGCAATCGTGTAACCTCGTCGCGGCCAGTGGGAATCAAAAACGCACCACAGTTCGTGTTCGTGTTCCGGGCCCGGGCCATGGATTGCCCCATCATACGATGGGTGTGACTAGACTCATCTCATGTATAGGCCTCGTCTGAGGTCCGCTGCGACACGAGTCTGAGTCCAATTTGTGCCTATTAAGATGGCGTGAAGTGTAAGAAGTGGTGATGAATTAAGCAAGTGTAGCCGGAAGTGCGATGAGAGTGAACGATGAGAAGGAAAGAGAGGGGCCGACAATGCATATTAATCAAAGGATATCTGATAAGTAAGTGGTCGGAGCCGCTGGAGGGACGAGTGATGACACAGACAATCGGAAATCGGGGGAGGCGTACGTCAGCCATGCACGTCCACGGGCTCGGATATGCCGGCCAGCCGGGAGAGACGACCCCGTCGATGCTGGCCATCTCTGCGTTGGCGAACACGAGCAGTTGGGAGCAAAAGGGACCAGCTGGATGCAACGAACTGCGCTGGGAGGTGCCCCGGCGGGCTTGGAAAGAGACAGCCACGGCGACTGAGAAATTGGGTCGGCGCTGAAATGGGCGAATGCCGGCGGGGACGGGTGCCGGAAGAAGAGCTCGTGCCGATAGAAATAAGGACCGGCATGCGCCCTCCAAGCCTTTCTTCTCGGCTCCGTCACGACTCCTCGAGCCCACAGGTCGCCTCCTATAGCTTGTCTGCCCTCCTCATCGTCTCTGTCCCTCTCCTCGTCGTCGTCGCCGTTCCCATCGCTGCTCTGAACCCCATTGTTGCGTGTCTTATCCAACTCGGCACTATCTCGGCATGACGCGCCGTTTCACGAGGTAGGTCTCACGCTCCCGTCGCCGTCCGCAGCCTCCAGTCGTCTTTAGCGGCATCGTCCCATCTTCCCCCCATCACAACTCCCCTGCTTATTTACTTGCGCCTCTCTCTCTTCCTCCTTTCCCCCTACGTCAAGCTTCACGCTCGCTAACGTTCACTTGTCATATGCACAAACCCCTCAGGTCGGTTTCCATTGCCGCCTCACTTGTCGGTGCCCTCTTCAATTTCGTCTGCGCCGCCCGCCTCCTCGCCCTATGGCGCTCGCTCGGTTGGGAATCTGAAACGGAGTGGGAGGCTTCAGGCGATGTCTGGAGAGTCGACAGCGTAAAGATTGTGTGGGGACTGCTGTCCACCTACTTCGCGGCGGCAGCGCTAGCGTGCTTCGTTGGCCTTGTTGGTCTCACGAAGGTGAGTCTTGTGGCCCACCCTCTCCGGTCCACGGCTCATTACTCTTTGTCTTTTATGTACTGTAGACTATCCCCTCCTTTATTCGCTTCTACCGCGACTACTCCATCGCCGACATGGCCTTTGTCACGTTCGGCACTGTCTTCTCAGGGTACACCGCATTCAGTACCCCTTATGTTCGCGCGAGTGTATGCGAAGAACTCTCCCGCCATCCCGATCTTATGCGCGATCTGGTGGTGTTTGGCGTCAGCTTGGAGAATTGCGAGCTGTGGTTTGAGCAAGTTGTTGTTGCCGTTGTGGGCATCATGTTTATTCTCATGGTGGTCAGGGTGAGTCGCGCCGATCTAGACTGTGTACTTCTCTGTCTTACAGTTCTCCTCAGCTGCATACACTCATTGCGCTTGCCAAGTATCATCGAATTCTCTCGCGAGATATCTCAGTCAACAGCAAGTCGCACACAGGCCTTCGCAACCTGAATACAGATTCGTTGCATCGCATTTACCTTCTACCAACGCCAACATCACCTCCGTCCGCCTCCTTCTCTTTCAATCACTTTGACACTGCCACCCACGCTCGTCGGGTTTCATCGGATAATATTGTCGTGTATGCCCCTGTGCCTGTGGGCGGCATGTCTGAACTGGACGCCAGGAAGATGAACGCGACAGAGGCATGGATCCCGTGTCGATCGGGCTCGGGGGCAGATTCTGGCTCAAGCTCCCCGCGCTCGCACGGACACAAGCATACTCGCTCGGCCTCCTCACACTCTCACCGACGCCATCACTCCGTACCTCGAGTCACTGCGCCGCCGCGGGAGGGCACATTGGTTGTAGTGGATGAGAAGGCGGAGCCTCTTTTCCGATGAGCAATGAGCGAGTCAAACGCATAGCATCACGATTGTTCGTTGTCTCGAGTGTAATCTAGGCCGCGATACCTGCTACTCTATTTCCCCCTCACCTCAAGGATCTTGGCGCCTGAAGTTGTCCGCGGCTGTTGCATGCTTAATGTGTTCCTTCAAGTGGTAGCAGACTGGTTTGCAATATTTATGCCATTTCTTGTCCGCGTGGCCCCTGATTCGACAGTCCCTCATTTAACGTTTGTCTCGTAGTGTTCGGTGCGGTTTTATTGTATTCTTGTAGTTTGGGATCCTAGCACGTCCGCTGTTTTACAGAGGCGCGTCAGAGATTTCGAGCGGGCTCCTGGTCCGGTCTGTTGTGTAGCTGTGTGTCTTCATCAATACGGATTTGCGTAGCGCATATTTCATTTAGGTGTAATCGACTTTGGGTTGCCATTAATTCGGATGAATCCGTCAGGAACACGGTCAATTGAATGGTGCCTCTCTGGCACTGGCGACCGTCAATTGAATGCCGCTTCAGCCATCTTTATACTAGTACCATGATGATACTGTCAGCGTGGTGTTGCTCAGATCCTGATAGTATGCGACAGCGTGCCGCTGCTCTGACTCTAGCTGCTAGCTGGTGAACTTGAAGAGGCGGTCGTTTCTCCGACACTCTAGCGGTGTTGAATGTAAAGGTTCGTGCAATATGGTTGTATGCGGCGTGGGGGGGCAGAAATTTTCATTCCCGAGGGTGGGCCCAGCCTGTTCTACGATGTGAGAGCATTTCGGCGCTTGCCTGTCGCAGCGCAGGGCACTAAGCCTAGCGTCGCCCACCTGGTCTGGTCGAGACTTCAGACCTCTTCACTTATACTCCTTCTCTCCTTTCCCCGTAATCTCTTCCAATCAAGCTCCGCACAATTTATCCCTGATTTACCCCCCGCTCCTAGCTTGCTACTGGACGCCCCTGCACGTTCTCCAAGCTTCCCACCCCAAAATACCATGACCCTCACGCACGACCGACCACAGAGCCCTGGGGCTGATGATAGCGTTGACTCCGACCCCGCCCTGCTGAAGAGGATGAAGACGAGCCATATATCCAACCCCGACAGTGTCGCCGATCACTTCCATCCTGACCTCTTCGTGCCGGGAAATATCCATCGTCTTCACTCCGAGTACGACCAGAGCTCCCCGTACAAGCATGCTGTCGTCGATAAGCTCTTCCAGGACGACCTGCTCCAGCGTGTCAAGGACGAGGCGCTGTCAGAGCTCAGCTTTTCCGAGAAGGAGACAGACATCTACAAGGTGCGCGCCAGTCCCCTCCCCGCCCGGCCAGCTCTTCATCCCCCGCGGATAGGTGAAGCAGACGGGAGACCTCGCATCGCTTTCGTTTCTCACTGACGAGCAGCGTGCGCTGCTGCCCAACCTTCTCACTCTCCGCGATGCGCTCTACTCTTCCAAGTTCCGCGCGTTTCTGCGCGCGGTGACCGGCTGTGGCCCCTTGTCTGGCACGAAGCAGGACATGTCCGTTGTCTCATACACAAAGTCGTGCCATCTGCTCAACCACGACGACGTAATTGGCACGCGCCGCGTCTCGTACATTCTATATATGCCCCTTCCGAACTTCAAGGGATGGCAGCGGGAATGGGGCGGCGCGCTTGAGCTCTATCCGACCAAGCTGGGCCCGGACGGCGTTCCTGAACCTGAATCCGTGCCAAGCAAAAATATCCCGCCAAGCTGGAACCAGTTCGTCTTTTTCGAGGTCCAGCCAGGGAAGAGCTTCCATTCCGTGGAGGAAGTCGTCGTAGGAGAGCGCGAGGACGGTAGGGAGCGGCTGAGTATCAGTGGGTGGTTCCATGCCGCACAGCCAGGCGAGGAGGATTACCTGCCCGAGAGTGCACCCGAAGTGAAAAGCTCACGCGAGCAGCTCGTGAGTCCGAGGCCACTGGCCCCATGTCCTTGAGGATCTCACAGCATCTGCTGCTCACCAGACGTCTACATCTACCGACTTCAAGTCCTACTCTGACATAGACGAGCCCCCACTCCCCGATCAGCCACTCTCGGAGAGCGACATCTCCTTCCTCTCCCAGTTCATGAACCCCGTATACCTCCAGGCGCGCACGATGAAAGCCTTGGCGTCGCGCTTCGTCGAAGAGTCCTCTCTCGAGCTGCACGAGCTGCTCTGCGCCCCACTCGCCGCGAAACTTGAGTCGGGCCTTCGCGCCACCGACGCAGCGGACGGGCTCGGCCCATCGCGCGCGACGCCCATTCCTTCGCACACCGCGGGCACACGGGGGGCGTGGGCACTCAAGGGTCCGCCGCACAAGTGGCGGTACTGCACCCTGCGGGGGCACGAGCACGGCGGCGCGAGCCGGACGGAGCCGCGCTGGGCGCAGGACTCGCCGGACGAGATCGTGCGCGCGCTGCAGGACGAGCTCGTCGCGAGCGCCGCGTTCCGCGCGTGGCTCGGGTGTGTGTCGCGCTTGCTCCCGCTGCGCTACGCGGTCGAGGCGCGCCGCTTCCGCCCCGGACTCGACTACACGCTCGCGACGGGTGAGACGAGGGAGACGCGGCTGGACGTCGTGCTCGGGCTCACGCCGCAGTTCGAGGGGCCGCCTGAGCCATCGGCAGCGCAGCAACGGGGAGAGGGAGACGAAGATGTGTTGCGTGGGTGGCAGACGGGCGAATGGGGCGGGTGGGAGGTGAGTCTGTACTCCCGGCTGTGCTGGCCTCGTTGACCGACGGCTATTCGCAGTGTTACATGGCTCCGCATGACGAGGAAGACGATCCGGCCGTGTACCGATCCGGGTCGAGTAAAAACAACCCGAACGGGCATGGGAATGGAAACGGACACGGAAATGGCCCGAATGGCCACGCTCAGGAGGGGTCGGATCCAGCGCAAGAGGACATGGACGAAGACGAAGACGACGACGACAATGCTACGCTCTTGACGGTGCAGCCCGGCTTCAATCGATTGCTGCTGGTCCTGCGCGACGAGGGTGTGATGCGTTTCGTCAAGTATGTCTCGGCTGCCGCTCAGGGTTCACGGTGGGATATTTGTGGGGAGTTCGAGATTGGCATGGTCGAAGAGGACGACGATTAGTCTCTGCGTGTTGCCGCTGTTTCTCGAGCATGTGTCTCGATTTCATCATGGCAGACTTGCATAGGTTGTATACGCATACTTAACTTACCCTGCACACGGCTCTGCTTGGCGTATGTATACATAATGCTTTATTTCCCGCCTTGTACCGTTACAAGTGCGCTGTAGTCTGGATTCGGGATCCTTTTATGATGGATTTGCTCCCCTGGAATCAAAAGTAAAGTATGCCAGACAAAAAATTGTTCAATGACAATTGATTTGGCCTGGGCGCATCATTTACTGTGCCCTAGCAAAAGTCGTGAAATTCCTTGATAATGCCCACTGGCAGCCTGTGGAATTTGTCGACGATCGCACGACGGAAAGGATGTTTATAGTGTACATCTTCATTGTTGAGATTCGGTTAATTAGTCTAGAACGAATCTTGAAAAAATATCCCTAGGTAAGATCAGTTTCGGCCTCTAGCTCAAAACCCGGACAAACCCAGTCTTTGTGTTTGCACCCCCGAAGAAGACTTTCTAGGCTCTTCTTATCATATTTTCAGTCACTGGCATGATGATGACCGTAATGTGGTCAAGCATTGAGATTCGTTTGCAGGATTGATATCTGGCTTCCTCATCATACTATATATTCACCCTCTATAACCAAAAAGTACAGTATGTCAGAGACGTTCTGGACGGGGCACCGTCAGAAGACGATTTTTTGGCCCTGGCTGGGCACGATGGCCGCAGTCTCCCGCTTCGCGAGGGCCAGGGCAGCTCCAGGCTTTGACCTCACTCGCAGACCCTTCCCATCCCTGAGCCTAGTGTTTTTAGCGGCCGTGCGTGAGTCATCATCCACCTTCCGACGCTTGGGAGACTCTGCCGCCGCCTCATCCGCAAGATCATCCCCTTCGGCGCCTCCATCCGGCATCATGGTCTTGCGTTTGTTTTGCTTGTCGGCGCCATCAGCGCGCGGCAGTCTTTCTCTAGACCTGTGTTCTTTCGAGTCACCGTGGAGATGAGACGCGTGCTTCGTGTCGTTCGAGCGTACGAGCCACCCGCCCCGACGGACGGCGTCTGGGGACGCGTACTCGACGACGAGCTTCCGCCCGTCGAGGAAGTGGTTCTTGGGATTGATCAGCGCGGACGTCGCATGCTCCACGGTCGTAAAGTCGATGAACGCCCACCTGACAAAACGAGGGAGTGAGAACGTGATCGTTGTGTACGTAGATGATCATGAACACAGAACCAGACTCCGCACTGGGCCCTTGCTATGCTGAGGCTGGGCTCAGTGACGTGCAGCGGGCTCCAGCCCGGGTCCTTGGATGACTGAAAGCAAGACAAATACACGCACCCTTTGCATTTTCCGCTGTCCTCAAACGTACCGAGCCGCACCTTCCGTATCCACGCGTCTGGTTTGCTCGTGCTCTCGTCCGAGGTGGTAGGCGCCTTCACACGGTGTGAATCGAACAGATCACGGATGGACTGCACGGTGGTCTCGAACCCGAGGTTTCCAAGAAATAGAGTAGGGCCTGCGGGTTGTTTCTGGGCCTGTAGAATCTTTTGGGCCGTCTTGGTGTGTCCTGACAAGTTCGACTTGGACGCCTCGGCTGTTCCGCCGGCATCAGCAGCGGCTGGACGGCCGTTGAAGTCGTCGCCTGGGCACCGGGATCGTCAGTGAAACTCGATATGTGTCTAGAAAGATACAGCGCACCGTCTTTGATGAGAAGCCGTCTCCCGTCGAGCGGGTTTTCAGAGAGTGTGATCGCTATGAGTTTGGCTTCAGGAGTGGCGAAATCCACATAGGCAAATCTGCACGATACGACCACAGTCATGAAAGGTGCGCATGCAGGATTTGCCACGGACGGACCCACGGTTTTCCTTTCTCGCTCCTGCACCACCAGGCCCTGAGGCCGCCAGCTTCGTGGGCATATGTATTCGGGTGATCTCGCCCACGCCGTCGAAGAACTTGCGTATGGCGTCCGGAGTAGTTTTGAATGTGAGATTCCCGACCCACACAGAGTTCTGACGCTTGGGGGCCTTGGAAGGCGGAATCTCAGCGGTGTTCTCGACTTTGCTCTTGCCCTTTGCATCGCTCGGTCCACTTTCTAGCTGATCGGCGGTCTTTTTCTGCTTTTTCTTCTGCCTGCGCTGCTCGGCATGCGAGAGGACGGGCACGTCGGAGTCGTGGCCATCGGAGCCATCTTTACCATCGGACTCGTCGTCTGGATGGTGGCTGAGGTGTTCTTGCTCGTCGTCTGACGCAGCCGAGCTCGTGCTCGCGGAGGAGCTGGACGCAGACATTGAGAGAGTCGGTTCGGGAGAGGCCGAGAGTGGCCGTCGTGATGGAGATTGACCCTAATTAATTAACCCTCCGAGTCGATTCAATTCAGCTTACGCCTGAACACTCAAAACCCGTTGAACTCGCGACTACTGCATCTCGCTCGGATTGTATGAGTGAACACACTCCAGTCCGAGTCTGCGGGTTGGGATTGTTCAAACGGCCACGATCCCATGACCCAGCAATCACTTAATCTTAATGTCGGATCCTCCATTCGTGCCAGTACTTATCCTGCCACCGGCCGCGCACTCTTTTAGCATCTCCGTCCCATGACTTTTTCACAACGCGCAGTCTTCTGATCCCATCTGTCACCGTCTCTGTACTTATACAATGGAGACCCGCGCAGGGTGCCGCTCTCGACCTCCATCATGGCTCAATCGTCTGCATCCGAGGCTCCAGCCAATCTCGCAGAGATCGAGGATGCCTTCGTCAACGTCACTTTCGACGAGGAGGCAAACTCCGGAGATCCATTCTACGATCCCTGGGTTGACCAAGGTGAGTCGTGTGCAACGAGCTCATCATCATCGTGCTGCGGCAGACTCAGTGCATACACCCTAGCCTCAGCAAAGTTTGAAGGGCCTGCAACCTACGGGTACATTCATTTTCCTGCCATCGCGCACACTACTGATTTAGCGTAGCGCACGAGCCCTGCGCAGGCTCTATCCGAATCATTCCATAGTCCTCTTCAAGGATGCCCCCGATGTCGACATCCTTGGCTTTCCATTCATATCCAAGACCGCAAACTCACCCGATGATTTTATCAATTCACTGCACTTTGTTCCACCTGCTCGCCGCATGGGACAAGCTCTCGGATCTTTCTCTAACGACATTAAGTTTGGGTCCTACCGGATCAAGTGGGGTGTGCGTGTTGATTTTATGTACACCGCCTGTGCATCGCATACTGATCTTGCATATAGAACGCTGAGTTTATCCTGTATGCTGTTCAGGTACATATTTGAGTTGCTCTTGATTGCAATACAACCTGTCGACCATTTCATCATTACCAGTATCCTCGATACATAACGGAAGTACAACAGCATTACTTGTTGTTTGAAGGTCCCGAGAAACGGTCACATGAGCTCCTACTAGCGGCAGCCGCCTGGAAGAACCAGCTCCATGAAGAGATACTGGTCTACAATAGGACATGGTCGAAGGATCATGCGCTGTGGGAAGAAGTGCAAAAAGCCAACTGGGACGATATCATTCTCAAGCCAAAGTTTAAAAAGTCGATGAAGAAGGATGTATTTGGGTTCTTCCAGTCCGAGAAGCTTTTCCAGTCGCTCTCTATTCCGTGGAAGGTGAGCATATTTAGGTTCTCGTTTTCAAGGCAGCGAATCCTGACGTCCGATAGCGAGGTATGATACTGCTCGGACCTCCAGGTGGGTCATACACGACTTTGCATGCGTCTTGTCTCATTCAACCCACACAAACATCGATCTCAGGCAACGGAAAAACTATCACAGTGAAAGCGATCATGAAAGACTGCTACGCGAAAGGCTTTGCGCCGCTCTACGTCAAGTCTCTCAAAAGCTCAAATGGCGGCGAGTTAGCCATCGCGAACGTCTTCCGCAAGGCGCGAGAGATGGCACCATGTGTGCTGGTCTTTGAGGACCTTGATTCATTGATCACCGATGAGAACCGCTCGTTCTTCCTGAACCAGCTCGACGGGCTCGAGGGCAACGACGGCCTGCTTGTGATCGGGTCGACAAATCACTTTGAGCGCCTGGATCCTGCGCTCAGCGGGCGCCCAAGTAGGTTCGACAGGAAACAGTGCGTATATGCGCCGCGTGCAGAGATACGAGGAGACTGGGTAATTAATCAAGTTTGGCCTCTAGCCGGTTCGATGACCCGGATCGCGAGGAACGTACGATGTATGCAAGGTATTGGCAGAACAAGCTGAAGAGCAACAAGTCCGTCGACTTCCCGAACGGCCTCGTAGAGGAAATCGCGGCCTCGACGGACAAGTTCAGCTTTGCGTATCTGAAGGAGGCTTTGTGTGTCCCGCTGCTCCTCCTTCGTCGTGCCTTCTAACATGACCACATTCAGCGTCTCGACTCTGGTTTTGCTTGCCGACGCAGACGATGGCGGCGAGAGCGACGACGACATCGAAATTGACGATGGCTACAGCTGCAGTTACGACTACGCCAACGCGAAAGCCACCTTTTCCAGTCTCATGCGTGAGCAGATCAGGACCCTACGGACACAGTTGGAGAAGGACGCTGGCGTTCAGTCAAAGCCCGACAAAGACGCTCGTTCCCCCAGCGACCCTGAAGGCCCACCCGTCATCCCTCGCCGCCTGATCAGCCGTTCTATCCACCCCATCAACCACCCGTCCCCTAGCCTCGTCGCCTCGGAAATCGATGCTTGGCGTACTGGGGCGAGACTCGCGCTGCGATCTAAGCGCGCAACCACTACGACAAATGCCCCGGATTCTGGCAAGCTTGGCCGGAGTGGACGGCCTGAGTGGCTTCTAGAGTGAGGCGCAGCTATAGTTGCTTGCCTGCTGGTGTTAGTAAGCCCTTCCGCGAAGGTCGAGTGGCCTGAATCTGGCGCGACGATATGTTTTTGCTTTTGCTTGAATCCCGTCGTATATACGCAGTGGGAGGTCCCGCTATTCTCACTCTTTGGAAGCCCACATTGATAAAAATATTTCGAATGCCCCGATCTGTAAAGGCAGTCCTGTTGTACTTATTTATGTCACTGCACATGTAACAGAATTAGGATACTTGTATAAATATCTCCTGTTCCGGGCCAGCTCACACGCACTGCAGTTGACAACATTCACCTTGATGAATTGATCCAAATGACATCACCCAGTAGATGACATACATACAGGAGACGCCGTATGTGGCGACAATTCGGTTCATAAGATCGCACCGAAGACGATACGGAAACAAGAACTTTGTATGATTGTGCAAACGAGTGATACATTATATGAAGGGGATAAATATCATGCAAGTGTAACAATAAAGTGATCTAGGCCTGGGGCGTGTCCGTCTAGCCAGTCAATCGGAGCCTGTCATTAGGCGTGAAGTAGTGTAGCAACACACGGAAGAATACAAGTCATGATGATCGTGAAGGGGGAACAGTTGTGTGTGGTGAGTCCATCTATGCTGACGCCGATGCCGACGCTGGGGAAGACGGGAGCATGTGTCGTAGCTTTGCTTGTTGCTCGAGCTTTTCCTCTTCTTGGAATTCCTCGACCATATGTTGCCATGTGTGGTCGACGGGACGCTGTGAGAGCAGCAGCGGTGAGCCACTGCCGCAAAATGCAGGAATGAGCACCACTTACGTGTTCTGCTGCCTCTTGGCGCTGCGAGTGGGTGAGGATACCGGCTCCGATGAGGACGCCAATCGTCAGACCCTGGGCCCACATACGGGCCTGAACAATCTTTTGTGACGCAGTCTGATGCCTGTGAGCCATGCGTGATCAGTGGGGATCGAAGTGTAGATTGAGCGAAACGGACCTGTTGCGCATGACAATGGCACCAGCAACAGCCATGCTGGCTGCCCAGCTACCAAGAATGATCTGGTACTGGTGGCGCGTCGCCCAATCCTTGAGCTTCTCCGAGCTATTCAGCTGGGTCCAGCGAGAGATTTCCTGCTTCTCCTGGCGATCGAGCTCGAGTTTGCCGGCGCCAGTCCAAGTGGATTGGTCAAATTCGACACCGCGACGCTCTGCCTGGATAGCATAGAGTGGCGCGACTACGAAAATGACGCCCATGACTTTGAGCTGGATGGGGAGGGCTCGGTAAGCTGGCCAGCGTCGGTGCATCCACATGGATGCGGGGACGGAGAGGGCGAGACCGCCGACGACACCCTCGACGGCACCACGGACGGTGGCTGCATGGTGGCCTGCGAGTTCTTCTTGAGTGGCCAACTGAACAGAAGGTGAGTTGAAAGCAAAAAAGGAAAGTGCAGTGTCGCCTAACTTTCATGATGAGTTGAAGTGAGAAGGATGAGCAAGTAGGAGAGGAGGGAGGGAGGAGAGGGAGTAGGAGACGATGATGGAGATTTCGGAGAAGTGCAAGGTATTTTATATGCGATGGCGAACGCAGGATCGGACGGGTCGGTGGCCCATCCCAACCAATTCGTCGTAGCCCGGGCAGGATCGGGCAGGGACACCGGCGTCTGCACGACTCTTCCCGACCCGGGGCTGTGCACGTGATGTCGAGTGCCTGTGCCGTCCGCGCGAGGCGGCGTCCGTGCAGCGCTTCCGTCTTTCTCTCGTCCTCCGTACTATCTCCCGAGCCCAGACCCCTTCGCACATGCTCGGAATCAGCGGCCTGGTGGCCTCACCCACCATCGACCTCTCCTCGCCAACAAAGAGCAGACAAAGGCCGGGCTCGCGCATTCCGTCGTCCACCAGCGCCACCACTCTCGTCGAGTCCGCCAGCCCCGCACTCACGCGTACAGCAGTTTCCCTAGAGTATGCCGCGCTCAGATACACCGGGCACTGCCCTCTGGGCATGTATATCACCCCCTCGGTGACAGATCTCTTAGTTTGGGACGCCGTCTTCTTCGTGCACCAAGGTCCGTAGCCTCTTTCCCCGCAGTCAGAGCTGGCAAGGCGAACGAGCCGCGGTAACGGTCATGTCAGGCTACTACACCGACTCCATTCTTAAATTCCGACTAACGTTCCCGCCCAATTACCCCGAGCGTCCGCCTGTGATCCAGTTCCTGACAGATGTCTTCCACCCCCTCATCTCGCAGCAGGACGGTATGTTCAACTTGGCGCCGCGTTTCCGACCGTGGAGGTGCGTCTTGTTTCAGTAGTCAGGGGAAAGCGCTTACCAGTGATGAACGTAGACCTAAAGAGCATCACGTATTTGACGTCCTTCACTGGATCAAGGCGGCATTCAAAAAGCAGGCGCTCGACGAGATCAAAGAATCCGAGTGCCTGAACAAGGAGGCCTACAGGCAAGTGCGCTCTTATTGGAGCTATATATCATGATTCACTGACTTCCCCTGCTAGATTGTAAGACCTTTTCTCGTGCTCCTGGCCGTACGTACTCATTGCCCCGTGACGCAGATACCACGACACAACATCCTCGTTTGCGGCACTTGCGACCCAGTCATCTATGCTCTCACAGTCTGCTTCTGCACTGTTTGACAGCGACCATCCCTCCATGGCTGGAAAGGGTCCGCAAGGAATGCATTTTCATGAGTTGAAGCCCAATCAATTGGATACACTCCGTGCCAAGCTCGGTCTACAAGACTGGCATGAAGCCACAATTTCATGATAGCAATGAGTATGATGTTTATTGAGCCGCTCAGGTCCTGTGCCTGGAATACTAAGCAAACTACGCGGCAAACGGTGCAATACCGCCCGTAGTCGCCTTGGGGCGTGTACTGTACATACATTCGTGATATCCTCGCTGTAAGATACCCAGCCATTATACTAGCAGTTATTTTAAATAAAAGTGGCGCATATGATAGCATAAGCACGTCACATATCAGGACCCGCCAGAATCGAAATATGCAAAATTGGAGTGTTCACTTCATGGTCGATCGCGTGCATAGAAGCCGGGGAAACCAGCCCATCGGCAGGCACATCGAGGGCTGCTCCGAGCCGATGCTGAGCGACGGCGAGCGCGCCGTCGGCCACGAGTGGTCCGACGACGGCGGGGACGGGCGCGAGCGCACCGACATGGGCAGCTGTAATTGCTAGGGATCATCCTGCGGGGTCTGGTTCGCGACGGGCAAGCTCAGCGCGTCGATCGTCTCGAAGGGCTCGTCCGGGCCCGTGTCGTCGTCCTGTGCAGGTGCGGCGGCCACGTCCCCGTTAGCGTCAGCGTCTGCGCGGAGCGGGCAGTGTGGCGGAACGATGCCACTCACGTCCGTCACCCGGTCAAAGTGCTTCGACAGCTTCTTGATCACGAGGCTGTACGGCAGGTGCTGCGTCAGCTTCCTGTGCGCGGGGCGATCGGGTCAGATCTCGGACCGGGCAGAACGCGCGACGATGACGCACCGGCGAGGCTGCACGTTCAGCGAGTGCCGCGCGTCGAGCGCCGAGTCCAGCACGTTGGACGAATGGGCGCCTTCGCTCAGCGAGAGACGGATCGAGTACTCCTTGTCCGACTTGCCACGCCCGTGGTTGCGTTCGTAGAGCTCGAACCTGCACGGTGCGGTGCGTGAGTGGGTTGCAAAGTTGCAACACGTGCGGAGGACACCTACGTAATGTGGGACTATGTGCCAGATATAAGGTTGGACATAGATCAGCGAATAGACGAGCAGATGCAGAAAAGACCACATACACAATAATCAAGCTCCGGTATCCGCCGATTCGCAATGGGCAGGCCGGAGAGCAAGACAAGATTGACCAACGTGTGAATATGGCTCTCCTTCGTGAAGTACAGTGTGAGAGAGCACTCCTCGTTGTTCCGCGCGTTTTCGAGGTCCTCGACTACGTTACGTAGCAGAGGCAGCGACGTCAACACGCCAATCTCCTCCCTGTCGGATATCAAACAAGTTAGCAGCGCGAGAGCGCAGGCTGTAGGACGCGAATGAGGCAAACCACTCACTTCTCTTCCGGCTCAATGCCATACTCTTGCGGTGCAACGAGATCGAAGAGCGCTTTAGCACGCCCATAGAGCTCATGCAGCTGCCGGTCATGCGGCGGCTGTGCGCCCATCTGGCCGTTCTCGCTAAAAATCGAGAAGAGGAAGGTACGGTGGTGCAGCGCACAGTACTTGATAGTGTCGTAGAGTTCCGACACACGCGAGGGGTCGAACTTCTCCTGCTTCACGTCGCAAAAGTCCTCGAACAACTTCTCCCACCGTTCGCGGAACAGCCAGGGCTCGTCGCCGCAGCACCTGAGCAGAGGTGCGATGAGTAAGAACGCGGCAACAGGCTGAAATGGGAGCGGCCCACCAGCGCTCCTGGATCTTATCGACGTTGAGGGTCTCCCAGTTCTTCCGCATAATGTCTCGGAAACTCCTCAGCAGTTCAATGACTTCCTGTGTGCGAAAATCCCATAAGCGGCTTACAATGTGATCGGAGCGAACGGTAAAACGGACTTTGACAACCTCAACGGGCTCCTTCTTGAGGCTCTTGGGCCATGTCAGCTCAGGTCGTTTGTCAGGCTCACCAGGGCGCAAAAGTATCTTCAGCCGCTTCTTGACATCGTCCATAAGGTCCTTGGCCGCATTTGAGTCATCGAGCAAGTCCTTGCGCACGATGAGCTTCGGTGCTTTCTGCCCAGATGGCACCGACTGGTCTCGTCGGGGCGTCCCAGGGCGGAATCCGCTGCCGCTAGTGACATTCAAGGTCGACCCGTTGGTACCATCTTTACCGTCCTGCGAAGAGCGCGCGGAGCTTCCGCTATTCGGAGGTGGGCCAGTCGATGATAACGGGTAGGGATCCCGGTTGGTATCAAAGAGGGCTGCTGCAAAGATTTCGGCGGATGCGACGACACGACGTTCTGAGGACGTATAGATCTTGAAGCGGCAACATCAAATCGTGGTCATCAACTATGATGTGAGGTCATAGCGAAATGGGCTCACCTTGACGTTCTTGAGAACGTCCTTGTCTGCAAAACCAATCGCATAAATGCTCAATGACGCCGTCTGGGCAATATCAAATTGATACGCACTCATGATGGAGATGTCCTTCTTCATGTTCTCACCAAGGTCCCTAGACTGATACCTCGCAGAATGGGTAAACTGTAGACACAAAAGCTCAGTACGGTCCGAAACCGATGACTACTGACCTGCACACCTCGCCGCCCCATTTGAACACAAGGGTCAATTTGGTCAGCTTCCTCACTTGTCCTGCATGCTTCTTCGAATACACTGGCTTCAGCTGCGCTTTTGTTCCCGGCAGCTCGATCTTGCTGAAGAGTGCATTGCTCAACTGCGTGAGCTTTGCCAGATCTTCGCCGTCTGCGCCAAGGCCCTTGGCCTCCTCGACAGCAGTCTGTATGCGGCTGAGCTGCGCTCGCTCGCGGAGAATGATCTCCTCCTTCTCTCCGTTGAGCAGCTCGACGAACGGCTGGGTCCACGACTCGCCGATAGGGAAGCTAAACTTCAGTTTCTGCTTAGGTGTGCGGTCGGCGTGCCGGAAAACGGTCACGTTTGCCTTGAGTAGCCATGTTGGGGACTCCTCCGCTGTACCTTCGGCTGTTGACAGGGGGCGTTCGACGGAGGCCGAGGCCTGCACGCATACGTTCGCGAGGATTTCGGCTGCTCTGTCTGCACCCGGGAGTATCTGCATTAGCAAGGGGCCCCGTGCGCGAATGGGTAGGGTCCTTACCGTAGTAAAACTCGTTGCCCTTGACAAAGCTCCAGCCGTTTACGTCAATCACTTGGCTGGTCTTGCCGTTCTCGCATCTGAGCATATCAAAGCCGCAGACTGTTTGTCCGAAGCCCTGGCTTATGCGGGAGGCCCACTCCTTCTCTTCATCACTCAGGTGTGTGATGAATCTGTGAACGTGCCAATCAGATTTTAATACGTAGGATGCGACGTGACTACATGCAGATGCTCACCTAATCTCTTTACCTTCGGTATTACGTCTAACGACACCGTCTACGAAGGGAGACTTGCGCGTCTCTGCGTGGGTATAATCAGGGCCAACTGTATAGACTTTAATGTCTTCGGAGTTGTCCACGTCTACGAATTTCTCATAGATATACGAGCCGTCAGTTCGGGGGAAGTTGAGGGTTGGGTCCAGTTCACTGGATTTGTTCCCGACCTGGATGCCATGAGCTTCTGAGACACATGATCCAGTTTGTCAGTGAGGGGCTGACCTTTCTAAAGAGACGGCGGCCGCCACCTCCACGGAAGTAGATGTATACGTTGTGGTCTTCGCCACTGACAGGCTTCTCCACGAAGGGTTTCTCCATCACCTGACCGTCAATGACAATCGCGTTTCCGTCTTCGGTCATGGTGACTTCTGGAGTGACCTGGAAGCCGCCAAGCTCGATGCCAACTTTTCTCTTCATGGCCTCTCGGAGCTCATCGTCGACCTTTGGACCACCGTCGCGAGAGACCTCGAGGCGTCGGGGTGTGGGTACTTTGAGGTGGTCGAGTACAGTGCCGACCAGACGACGGTCCCAAAGAAGGGCCTGAGGTGGGAGGTCATTAATGCAGAAAGGGTTACGCAGCTTGACGTAGGAGATGGCCTTTTCGAGCGGAAAGTCGGTGGAAAAAAACGAGATGAGAACATCGCAGCGGGGCCAATTCTCGACATCTGGTGAATAAGACGCCGGCGGAAGCAAAAGGTGAACAGAGGAGGTAAGCGGGAGATCCTCTGGGCGAGATGAGCGGATGCGGACAGACCTTCGTCCAGGATAACCTTGTCGCCGAAAACCTTGGCCTCGATCGCGCCGCGAGTGCGTTCGACGAGACGTGTTAGAATTTCGCGCATGGCCTTTGACCTGGCTTTGATGTCCATGGCGCATATGCCGAGGATGATGGGGGGTTTTCCCTGCTCAGCGGCGGCAGAGATGTCTGAATGGGAGCCATTGGGGGAGGTGGAGGAGGACCTGGTGAGAACGGACTGGGAACGACGGGGAGAGGACCTCTCCGGGGAATAGAACAGACTCATACGAGACAGACGATGATCGTGCGAGGTGGTCGGACTGTCGGTCATGGGGCCAGCCTGGGGCACGTCTCGTGAGGGAAGGAGAGAGCGAAAAACATGGCCGCCTCCTGCCACTCCCCGCGCCGGCCTCCCCACGAAGCCTTGCCCGCACGCCACACACGGCCCCCGGACCACCCGCGCGGTCCCGGGGTGTCCAGAGTCCGCGGCTTACGAGAGCACGCATTGCGCGAATTGTGCGTCGAATGGGCGCGCGCCGTGATTGGACGAGGCACTTGTGCGAGCCAATTTGTGGACAAGCGTCTGCGCCGGCCTTAAGTCTCTCGCTCGCACACGCTCAGCCATCCTCATCTCCCACACACGCGGCCTGCCATGGCGTCCCCTACTTATTCTCCTCGCTCGCGTCCTCCTCCCCATCCCAAGCTCAAGATGGACCTCCCTTCCCCCTCCTCCGACTTCACCACCGCCGTCTTTGTCTCAAACCTCCACTGCGCAAGGCATGCATGCATCTCCGTCATCTTTACATCGTCCATCGTTCACTAACCGTTGCATTATTCTAGCTGCGTCAGGACCATCGAAGATGCCCTGTCGACGCTCTCACCCGCCCCATTGTCCGTCGATGTATCCACTGTCACCCAGATAGTCACCATCAAGCACTCGCTCGCCCTCTCCCCCTCAGCGATCAAGGCTGCCATCGACGAGGCCGGATTCGATATCGTCGACACGCCCGTTGAAACCGCCTCGCATCCCCCCCTTTCATTCCCCCACAGCATCGCCCGTCTGCCTGCCCTTCTCACCGGCAAGTCCAGGAAGCACTTTGACCAATGCTCCCTCTGCCAGTCGGAACACAGCGCGCACATGCAGCGCGAGGCAGGCCCCTCCCACGCCGGGCGCGACAAGTTTGGCGAAGAGACGCTTACAGAGCTACCCGAGCTCAAGGACATCAAAGACGATTCGTCCTTTGTTGAGGACAGCAAGGGAAAGCGTCCCGCGTCCCCTCTCCCGGCCGCTCCCCCGGCGCCAGCAGTCCCCACTGCTGCTGACGGCCAACACCATGTCACACTCTCCGTCGGAGGTATGACCTGCGCGTCTTGCTCTTCCGCGGTCACCCGCGCGCTATCAGAATTACCCGGCATCTCGGATGTTGCGGTTAACCTCCTTGGTAACTCCGCCACGCTTAGAGCAGACAATGCCGCCCTCGTCCCCGGAGTCATCGAGGCCATCGAGGATGTTGGGTACGAAGCAGAGGTCATCAGCGTCGATCCTGTCCGAGCCCCACCCACCGCACGTCAGGCATCCCGCCCGCAAGCCGACGGCCCACAGCGTCTGACGCTGTCTGTCGGCGGCATGACCTGTGCCTCCTGCGCCAACACGGTAACGGACATGGTATCTGCCGTGCTGGGAGTCTCTGAAGTCGTCGTCAACGTCCTCGGGGGCTCTGCCACCGTAGTAGTCGAGCGCAAGGAGATCGCTACACAGGTCGTGGAGGCAATCGAAGACGCCGGCTACGAAGCCGAAGTGATCAGAGTTGAGCCTCTGAGCGTACCTGGTGAGAAGGAAGAGGTGCATTTAGGCCCGCGTACCGTATCCCTTCGCGTGGAGGGCATGTTCTGCCAGTAGGTCACGGTTGCCTCCCGCATATAGTCCATTGCTGACAAATTTTTTCAACAGACATTGCCCGCAGAAAGTGATGAACGCACTCTCGTCATTCGGCGACCGCGTTACGGTAGAGAAACCCCTCACCACGCATACAGACCCCATCCTGCGCATTTCTTACCTTCCCGAACCCCCAGCGTTTACCCTCCGGCAGATCATTCGCGCCATCTCCCTTTCCCCCGAGTCGGCGACGCCGTTCACAGTATCCATCTACCACCCGCCCTCCCTCGAGGACCGTGCACGGTATATGCAGGATCGCGAGAAGCGGCACCTCCTCCAGCGGTTCTTCTTTGCGCTGATCGTAACTATCCCGACGTTCATCATCAGTATCGTGTACATGGATCTCCTCCCTTCGTCGAACACAGGCCGACAGTGGTTCGAGCGCCCCATGTGGTCGGGGAACGCGTCCCGTGCGACCTGGTCGCTGTTCTTCCTCGCGACGCCGGTCATGTTCTACAGCGCAGGCACCTTCCATCGCCGCAGCATCAAGGAGATCTGGGCGCTGTGGAGGCCCGGAAGCAAGACGCCAGTGCTGCGGAGATTTATCAGGTTCGGAAGCATGAATTTGCTGGTACGAGCCTTTTCTCCTCCTCGTCCTATAGTCGCCTGTTTAACGGTGGGGATCGCTTAGGTTTCCACCGGTGTATCTGTGGCGTACTTCGCGTCCATCGCGCTACTTGGCCTCGCGGGCTCTCAGCCGCCTTCGCCTCACGGAATGGGTGACACAACAACCTACTTTGATTCGGTCGTATTCTTGTCCATGTTTCTGCTGCTCGGTGAGTGCGCTTTTCTTATGATGACGGCTATCAGCATACTGACCATTCCCCCAGGACGGTACCTGGAGGCCTACAGCAAGGGCCGTACTGCTGATGCCATCACTGCCCTGGGCAAATTGCGCCCGACGTCTGCGCTCGTCATCGTCCCCGCGTCCGAGCCGTCCAACGAAACTCCAAGCTCCAGGTCGTCTACAACCGAAGTCGATCTCGAGAAGGGCAGCGTCGAAAAGGAGGAGCCCAGCCTCGCCGCGAGGCACGGCATGAAGGTGGAGCGCATCGACGCAGAGTACCTCGAGGTCGGCGACGTCGTCCGCGTGCAGAACGGCGCGAGCCCGCCCGCGGACGGGACGGTCGCCTTTGGAGACGGCGGCGCGTTCGATGAGAGCTCGCTGACGGGCGAGTCGCGCTTGGTGAAGAAGCAGGTCGGGGACAACGTGTTTGTCGGGACGATCAACAAGGCGGGAGTCGTGGATGTGCGCGTTGATGCGATCGGCGGCGAGACGATGCTCGATCACGTCGTGCAGGTCGTCCGCGAAGGCCAGACCCGTCGTGCGCCGATCGAGCGCGCGGCGGACATGCTCACGGGCTACTTCGTCCCTGTCGTCACGTTACTAGCGGTGATCACTTGGGTCGTCTGGCTCGGCCTCGGGCTAGGCGGTGTCCTGCCCGAGAGCTACCTAGACATCGACGTCGGAGGCTGGGGTACGTGATGCACTTTTCATCAGTGAGGGCAGCGAGCTAACGCGCGTGATGCACAGTCGTCTGGTCTCTTGAGTTCGCCATTTCCGTCTTCGTTGTGGCGTGCCCGTGCGGCATCGGCCTCGCCGCGCCCACAGCGCTCCTCGTGGGGTCGGGACTCGCCGCCAAACACGGTATCCTCGCGCGTGGAGGAGGCGAGGCCTTTCAGGAGGCCGCACAGCTCGACATCATCGTCTTCGACAAGACCGGGACACTCACCGAGGGGGGCGAGCCGCGTGTAACGGACGCCGAGATTGTCGCCCAGGACGCGTCGCCGCGGCTGACGCGCGAGGTTGTGCTCGGGATCGCCGCGGAGGTCGAGTCTGCCAGCTCCCACCCCCTTGCGACCGCCATCCGCCAGTACTGCGCAGACAATGCGGCTGCCCCGCAGAGCGGCGAGGAGTTCGAGGAAGTTCCCGGGCGTGGCCTCAAGGTCCGCTTCGCCGCTCTTCAGTGTACAGCTATTATCGGAAACGAAGCGTGGATGGACGTGAACGGCAGCGCGACGGGCGGGGCGCTGGCGAACAAGCTGGACGCATGGAAGGCAGAAGGGAAGAGCGTGGTCCTGCTCTCGATCCGCGACGATTCCGTCGAGTCGCCGGCGTTCTGCACCGCTGCCATATTTGCTGTCGCCGATCCGCTCAGACCGGAGGCACCGGCGGTCATCCGGCGTCTGCACGAGCAGGGCATCGGGACCTGGATGATCTCGGGCGATAACGAGATCACAGCCAAGGCCGTCGCGCGGACGGTGGGCATTTCCGAGACGAATGTGATCGCGGGCGTGCTCCCTCACGAGAAGGTCAGTGCTACCTTTCTGCGATTTGACTCGGGGTTAACGGTCTCGGTAGGCTGAGAAGATCCAGTGGCTACAACAAGTCGGGATGAGGAGGCAGCGGAAGTCGTGGCGGAGATTCTTTGGATTCCGGAAGCGGAAGGTCAACGAGCGCTGCGTCGTGGCTATGGTTGGCGACGGTATCAATGACGCACCGGTATGTCCCGATTCTCTCGGTCCCTGCACATGGGAGTACTCAATAGTCCTTTCAGGCTCTGACAGCTGCTGATGTCGGAATTGCAATTGGCTCAGGGAGTGAGTGATTGTTTTGGAAGGGTGGCAGCAGGATTACTAACTATAGCCTTAGGCGATGTGGCGCTCTCCAGCGCCGCGTTCATCCTTGTATCGGCAAACCTGTACTCGCTCCTGACTCTGACCGACCTGTCAAGGAAAGTATTTAACAGGGTCAAGTTCAATTTCGTGAGCATTCCCCTAAACTTCAACTGACATCGAAGACTCACCTGTTGGCTCAGTTATGGGCGACATGCTATAACGTTGTTGCTGTACCGATCGCAGCTGGTGTGATATACCCAGCGGGTAATGCCAGGCTCCCGCCTGTGTGGGCTTCGTTAGCTATGGCCTTTTCGTAAGTCCTATCTAATATCGCTCCACGGTCCGTCTGATTCAGACTATCCCACAGCTCTGTGTCGGTCATTTGTAGCTCGCTTCACTTGAAACTCTACAAGGGCACACCAATTCCTCACGATTAGAGTTACGAGTTAGCAATACGATACAACATGACGGACACATCTGCTTCGTTGAAGTACTCCCCTACGATATAGAACTGCCTAGACCTGTTTACACATACTAACCATTCAATGACCGAATTCCTAATGTTATCATGTAATGCTTACCATACGAAATATGATTACGATCCTCAAACGAAACGGTAGATGCCCTACGACCGTTGTTGTTCCTTTTTAGTTCTATAGAAATCTGAGAATGACAGCCTAATTCCCAAGAAACGACAGTCGAGATCTGCATGGCCTTGCAGTCCTTGGACGATGGCTTGCGCCCGCTCTGAGAAAGTTGCGGCATAGTCCCGCACTCGCGCAAGTATGCCGTGCACTGCATCCGAGTTGTGTCTTCGGTCGGTGCCTTGTTGAATATGGGTAAACACACCCTGAAAGATTTCATGACAAAGGACACCGGTGAGAGAGAATATGGGCGTCTTACCCTTTCCGCGTCCAGATCGGAGTCCCTCCTCGCCGACTCAGAGAGACAATAATTGTAGAAGTCGTCCTGCGCCATGTCAGCAGAACGCCAAACCAGAACCGGGATCGCTCACCGTAGCCTCACGGAACTGCAGGATATTTGCGAACACGTCTCGCACCTGATTCAGGAGATTTTCCTCCCTCCCAGCTTTGGGGCTCAGCAGCAGCACCTTCTTGACCATCCGATCGAGATATGCACGATGGGCTTCAATGAGGGCGTCGAGGTCGCCTTCCTTCTTCTGTATGAATTCAAGGAGGACCTTCCATGAGCATTCAATGACTTCAAGTTGGCAATACGCTTCCATCTGCCGGATGAAGTGTATCATCTCCGCCATGACGATACGGATCTGGTGCCAATCGTTGTTCAGCTCTATTCGTCATTAGCAAACGGATTCGACTACGCTGACAAGTGCACTAACCCGGAACCCGCAGAAACGTCCTTGCACCGCCAGCCATTCTCATCCAACCTTTGCTCAGGGTGCTTTCAATCCGCTTGATCTTCCACAGATGGTTGAATAGCTTTAGGTACTTCATCATTGCCTCGGGATCCAGGACAGTGTCGATCGGGGCATCGACTTTGTACTCCAGCGTGAACACATCCCAGCCAATCTCTCCATGGGAGTACTCGAGCATGCGGGCGTCAAGCCTCCGGAGAACGTCAGCGGGATCAGTCTGCGCATTGGACGACCGGATAGCTGATTCGAGAGTGGCGGTTAGATTGTGGCGGTACAGAGTATTGGCTGGTCTCGCCAAACTTGGTCTAAAACTCGATGTCATACAAGATTTGTAGGTGCAAGCAGAACAGGGCAACGCACCCGAGAGTTTCCATGAGCTGATCCGCAAAATCACCATATCCCAATAAGAGGTAGTGTTTGAGAGCCTGCAAATGATCGAGTAGTGTGTACTTTTCAAAGAAAACCTCGAACAGGCGATGGCTAGCTATCTGGTATGCAGTATCGATGGAACGCTCTAGGCCGACTATATCACTGTACTTGAGAGCTGCAAAATATGAGCTATGAATCAGTTTTGGAATCCATGACTTACTGCCGCCAGTATTGCTGAGTTTCTCCCGCGTGGCAACCCAATCGCTATCTTGGCATGTATACCTGATAAAGTTCAGGCTTTTTCCTGTCGAAAATATCTACGGGGACTGATGAGAAAATTTGAACCAGCAGTGCTTTGATATATATCACCTTTCGACCGAACGCTTCCCCCACAAAAGCAGGAAGCATATCTTTTTGGAACTGATATTTGGTCTCCCAGAGTTTCAGACCTCCCTCGCGTTCGCCAGACACGTCTTCGCCGTCGCCACCCAGATCGCCAAATCCACCATCCCCAGATAGCTGCCCGGCACTATCCCGGGCGGTTGGTTGCAGGTACTGCAAATGGGCCAGCTCTGGATCTACCGCGACAAAAAACTCAGAATAAGGGTCGTTTAGTTCGCCCGAGAACAGCCATTTGTGCAATGTGGCGAAGAATGGCTTCGAAACCTATACATTTACATAAGTGACACAAAGCTATAAAGAAATGGAGCTTTCAGTTTACCTCTTCTAGTAATTGATCGGTAAATTTGCGTATGAACGGATCACCGTTGTCTGCATACCCGTGGATGAGATTGACAAGTGCACCCCCATGCGAGCCTGAAAAGTATTAGCTGTTGGGTTAAAGGTGCGATGTGATGTCGCCCACCTCGAGCACCCTCAACACATACGCTCATCATTCGCATCCTGAGTCTCCAATCTGTGATCCAGACGTCTAATCGTTTCAGAGTTAATCCACTCTCTTCCTCACGTGTGCTCGGTTCTTCTGTCTCCGATGAATCCTCCACGCTTGTACCTATTGTCATTTGGGATTCGAGAACAGCAATTAGCCGGTAATACTCGGTGAGCTGCGTCTGGAGATGATGGCAGAGACTTTGTTCAATCATCCCCACGCCCATCTTCCCCTCCCGCTCTTGCACAAAGGCGTCAACCCTCATGTAGAGATGGCCGACTTCGGCAAGCCGGTGAACCAGGGCTTTGACTGGTGCGGGGATTAGATATTTCTGCACGAGACAGTCAGAAAAATACAATGACAATCGAAGAGAACCCACCGGATCGTCGGTAAACACAAGCTCATTGTTTCCGTCCGGGTCGATGGATGGTGCGAAATGTACATACTTCCCCGAAATGCCCTGCAGTAAGTAGAGGGTATCCCTCAAGATCAGATGTTCCGGAAGATGAGGCCGCCCTTTGACTGTAGTGAGGCAACGGACAGAATGTGGCATGTGGCATATACGACTTACCGATTTTGCTACGATATTCCCGTAGTACGTCCGCCTTTGACTTCCCTTTCGGCAATCTGGCAGGGGGTGACGAGTCAGCCGGGGTATTTGCATTTGAGGTGGGCCGAGTTGGCGGAGGAGGAGCAAGAGAGGGCAAGAAAGGCTGCGAAGTGGCGGATAGTTTTGATGACAGTGATAGTGCATGAAGAAACTGCAAGGACGCATGTTTTCTGGAGAGAACAGGCTGTGTTGTTCATGTCAACAGCAGGAGAATTGGCGGCGGCAGTCAACGAACCTGGTCCAAGAGCCTCGACAGAAGGTTCGTAAATCGCAAAGTGGTCACACCGTCAGGGGAAGACTGCAAGACTGAGATTCTATGAATATGAGTCCAGATAAGGGACAACGAGATATCAACCAACGATGCCTCTTGATCAAGTCCGCAAGATGGCCAATATCTGTATCTACCCCATGGCCTATGTGACTTCGAGACGTCAGTGTATACTCGTATCTTGTAAATTGAGTGCCCGAGCAGGGTTTTACTGGGGGATGGTGGAACTTTGGAAGACAGGCATTACCTGCTGAGGATCTCCTGGCAATGGTCCAGTAGTTCCTGCTTGTATGGGGAATCGTGTCTAGCCCTAGGAACCAAGGAACTAACAAGAGATTCAAGGGAAGAAGACATCATAAAACTAATGCGTGTTCATGGACGCTGTCCGTTCAACATCGAGAAGTCGCGCCACTGGCGCGCGAGCCGCGCGACGCGCTCGACTCGATTGTCAATTAGTACAGACAGACTCGCGCCTGAGGGAGAAACTCAGGCAACCGTTCGGATATGCATCAGACTTTTTACATTTTTGTCTGCAAGGTCTGTCTCCATGTTTCATTCCTAAAACAAATGCGCTCGTCTCGGATGATATGGTGTGTCCCGAAAGCTTCAGCGACGGACTTAGTATATATACTGAGTCTGAATATTGAACGTCCAAACAGGCTCGGATCCGGCTATGGAGGGCGTCTAATACGGAAACGCGACGCGGTTTCCAAAAGAGGGCCGCAGCGTCGGGCCACTTCTCTTACTCTCATCGACTCGCTCCCGCCGGAGTTGACGACGGTGCACTGCTTGCCCGGACGGGCACTGTCCCTGGATCTTTCTTCCCTTGCACATTTATCGACCTCTCTTGACGCCTCTTCACGATAACATAACGACTGTACGACTTGGGAGATTTCTACGCGACCATGGAGCGATCCGACTCAGTCTCGTCCTCAGGTTCAAGGTCCGGCTCTGCCCAAGTAGGACCATTCGCATATCAGACACGCCTCCTCGAGCGAACTGCGTCCCGTAGTGGTGCAGGCTCTCTTTCTCGAGCAGCTTCGGTAGCTAGAAATGGCGTACTATCGTCTCCCACAGGAAACAGTAGCACTCCAAATGCAACGAGAAGATGGACACCGACACACCGCGTCGGCAACAGCTTAGACACTGTGAGGGGGAAGTGGGAGGAGCGCTCTAGAACAGAGAACCTCTCTGAATCCCGTACACCGTCCACACCTTCTGCAGAAGAGCGTACTCGAGCCATCAGCATGGTCAGTCCGTCTCCCGAAGCCACAAACAGAACCCGCTATACGGATCGTCTGCAATCAAATCATCCGGTGGGGACAGACGAACTACCTCGCAGCAATATCAGCTCTCCTTTATTGAAACGGCATACCATGCCTGCACCCATTATTGCCTCTCCTTTATCACCAAACACAACAGGCGTTACTATAGAAGGCCCCGAATCTCCTACTCATCCGTTCTCTACACCTACTCCCCAACGTATCCGCTTACCTGTGTCGACACCTCTACAGTCGTCGTCAGTATCTGCGCTTAAACAGCTTAGTAACTATGCAGTTCCTGCATCTTCTCCTGAAGCATCTGCTGGTACCGCGGTTACAAGGGTCCGGCGTGCCAATACTTTGGAAAGCGTTAATCCTACTACAACGGGCTCATCGACATCCTCTGACAGCTCTCTTACTACTCCTGGTCCTTCACGGATATCTCGTGTCTGGCCACCAGAATCATCGCCTGCGGGCACTCTCAGTCGGAGACCCACTTCTCTCTACGGAGGATCCCTCTACTCTCCTATGCCGCCATCTCCGGACAAAAATGGTCCTCGTACACCGTCGAGTGCAACATTCTCCCGTGCATCGTCTCTTTCCCCGGATAAGCCCTCTTACCGACCTTCATCTACGTCATCGACATCCTCTGTTATGTCTCCGGCACCTTATCGGAGCTCGTATATGACAAACAAGAGAGCATCCGCTTACGGGGATGTTTTTACTACTGGTCGTCGACTCGGGCAACATCTTCCGCGTATCGCAAGTGGCGACGCATCGGAAGACTGGGTTGATGATACTCGCGCGGACGAAGAGCCTCCGCTTCAAGATCGACGAAGTCGTAGGGAGGAAAGAATGTTTCGAGCAAGAGATTGGGAGCCACCGTCTCCGTCTCCGGAGAAGCATCGAGAACCAGAGCTTGTTGTCCCAGGCGTCACGGATGCTGGTGATGTGACCGGCATTCCTGGACGGCTACGGCTATCCAGAGATATGACGTCAAGCGCTCAGACATCTCCCTCGCCATCCACTCGACTTACCCGAGGGTTATGGGCAGATGTGCAGAGACATCTTCTGCAAGCTTATGAATATCTCTGCCACGTTGGGGAAGCACAGCAATGGATCGAAGGGTGTTTAGGCGAGGAGCTGGGCTTTGGTGTAGTAGAGATGGAGGAAGGTTTGAGGAATGGGGTGGTATTGGCGAAGTTGGTAAGAGTCTTTCAAGGCGAAGGCGCAGTGCGCAAGATTTATGATGTAAGACCGCGATTCTGAATAGCCTTCAGATATCTACTTACGGATTCATTAGGCCCCGAAGCTGGATTTCCGGCATTCAGACAACATTAACCACTTCTTTGGGTTTGTCCGTCATGTCGGTCTCCCCGAGGCAAGCGCCCGTAGATCTCTATCAGTATTCTATGTCTGATAGTATTGCATCAGGGATTCATCTTTGAACTCACTGACCTTTATGAGAAGAAGAATTTTCCTAAGGTGATTTACTGTATACATGCCCTGAGGTATGTTCATGGGTCTGGCACATTTGATCCTTTCTCACGATATCAACATCAGCCACTTGCTTGCTCGTCGGGGGCTTGCTGAACGAATAGGCAACCTGGTTGGCCATCTGCAATTCACCGACGATCAGCTTCAAAAGACTCAGAAGGGTCTTAAGGATTCTGGTGTGGCCATGCCTAACTTCGGTAATGTAGGAAGAGAATTGGCCAAGGAGATCAATGAAGAGCCAGAAGAAGAGATAGAAACTGAGGATGAACGTGAGTAATTTATGACATTATGTGCAGTCGCATTCTCATCGGGTGACATTATATCAGGCCGTGACCGTCTCCTCCTAGAGAACGAAGATTCCATCGTTTCAGCACAGACAGTTGCACGTGCCTTCCTCGTCAGAAAGGCTCAAGCAACACAGAAGGGGCGCATCTGTCTCGCTGAACGGTACGTTCCCGGTATCCAGGCTCAGTGCAGGGCGATTTTGGTCCGCAGAAGAGAACGACGAGAACGAGAGCAGCGTACCGATCTTATTCCATGGGCCATTTCGATACAGTCACACGCACGGGGTGTTATCATTCGTCGGGATTGGCAAGCACATTTACGAGCAATCGAAGCCTCTGTTCCATACGTTGTGAAGGCACAGGCACAAGGACGGGGTGCGCTCCAAAGGCGCAGATACTTAAAGTTAAAGACAGCGCTCCGAAGCTCGAAAATATCTGTCGTAAAACTTCAAACTGCTGCTCGCGCACGAATTGTGCAGAGAACGCACAGGGAGCTTACAAAGGCATTTGCCGTACCCATCGTGATGGACAATATTCTCGGATTACAAGCGCATGCTCGAGGTGTACTGCTACGTCGCAACCTGGCTCGTCAGCAAGCGCTCCTCCGTCAAGCACAGCCGTATATAGTCAAATTACAATCCCAGGCTAGGGCGGCTCTCCTCCGTCGACGAGTTCGTACTCAACTCGCGAAGTTGGAAGACGTCACAGATGTAGTTATACGGATCCAAGCGGCAGTACGGACATACCTGGCTCGTAAACGGCTCCTTGGACTTATCCGTGGATTGCGCAAGGCTACCCCCGCTCTCATTGGTCTCCAGGCTCGTGCGCGGGCGACCCTTGCACGGCAACGACATGAGTCAATGCACAAGGCTTTGTCTGAGGTTAAGGTCATCAAAGCTGTCGGTGTTCTCCAAGCCGTCGCTCGTGCAGCTCTCGCTCGCAATCGTCATCAGGAGCAGGCTAAACAGCTTGAATTTGTTCAGCCCGATGTGCTAGGGTTTCAGGCTACAGCACGTGGCGCCTTAGCTCGTTGGGAGTATCGTGCATGGAGAGATTATCTACGCGCAAGTCATCCTCAGGCAACGATCCTTCAGGCCTTACTACGTGGTGCTATGCAACGACAAAAGTTCCGCATCAAGATGCAGTACTACCGTACAAACCTCGATAAGATCGTTCAAATTCAATCTCTCTTCCGTGCGAAGGAGACCCGCGAGCAATACCGTCAGCTCACACTGGGGACCAATGTTTCTGTCGGCACGATCAAGAACTTCGTTCATCTCCTGGATGACTCAGAAGCAGATTTCCAAGAGGAGATCAAGATCGAACGACTGCGCCAAGACGTTGTGAAACGCATTCGGGAAAATCAAGGTTTGGAAAACGACGTTAACGAGTTAGACGTCAAGATTGCTCTCGTGGTACAGAACGTCAAGAGTTTCGAAGAACTAACGAAGGTCCGGCGCATACTCGGTGCGGATACTGCGGCCGTCCATGCTGCAAGGGCTTCCGTACTTGCAGCCTATGGTGACCCTTTCGCTGGCCCAAGCACGTTGGATAGGGCGGCGAAGCGCAAACTTGAGCTCTATCAGCAACTGTTCTATCTTTTACAGACGAGAGGCGAATATTTGACCCGATTATTCTCCAAAATACCACGGGAGAATGATTGGGAGAAGCATCGCCGGTCGACAGAGCGGGTAGTGTTGACTCTCTTTGGTTACGGACAAGATCGTCGGGAAGAGTATCTGCTCTTAAAACTTCTGCAGGTGCGTATGAACGCTTTCAAGCGACGCAAATATCTGATTGACCGTTAGACGGCCATCCATGAAGAGGCTGCTGCCGCCACTTCCATCGATGAGATCACTCATGGGCATCCAATGTTTATCAACATTGCAGTTCATTACCTACGTCCGAAACAAACTGCATATATTCGTGAGACTTTCCAGAGCGTCATAAGAGGAGTCGTTGATTCGGATGACTTGGACTTTGAGACTGATCCCAGCAAGGTAGGATTTTACTTCGATTATACCGAGCGAGTCCTAATTTTTGTCGCACCCACAGATTTATCGTGCTAGAGCTGATCTAGAAGAACTGCGATCCGGAGTGGCTAGCTCGGTGCCTAAAGATCTTCCATTCAGAACGGCTCTGAATGATCCAGACACGCGAGCAGAGTACATTCGACGTTTGTCCCCAAGCATTTTTCAAACGTGTTATTTCTGAGATGTCCTTTTCCAGATCTCCAGGTATTGCAATGGTGGACGGAAGAGTTTGTCAAAGCAATAACTCAGTCTATCCAACGTATGCCCTACGGTATGCGCTTTTTGGCTCGAGAGACGCTGAGCGCCGTGAGAGTATGTTGAAGTCTTTTCTGCAAAATTTCACGATCTTATATCGTGATCTAGGAGAAATTTCCTCAAGCACCCAACGAGGTGTATGCTGCATGCATTGCAAGACTCGTTTATTATAGATACATCAACCCTGCCATTATGTATGCTTCTCCCATTGCAACTGTATATACTCTTCTAACAATGATTTATAAACAGCACTCCCGAGACATTTGATATCGTCTCCAGCACCATCGACATTGCCTCTCGTAAAAACCTGGCTCAGATTTCCAAGATGCTTACACAAATCACTAGTGGAGCCGAATTTGGCGATGAGACCCCAAGCTTTATTCCAGTGAATGACTACATCAGGAAAACGATCAAGAACATCACGTCTTGGCTTATTGCGGGTACTGTTTATCTCATGTTGTATGCTAGGCCGAGGCTGATGATTGATTATCTGGCACTTAGTTGCGGATGTTCAAGATGCAGAATCTGAATATCATGCACACGAATTTCTCGACGCGACGGTTCAACCGAAGTCAATCTACATATCGCCCAACGAGGTATATGGCCTTCACGGCCTGCTGTCGCAGCATCTGGACGATCTCGTAGGCGTACCTAGCTTCCCATTATGCCCTCGACTGACACATAGAACAGGCTCCTAGTCGCGATGATATATTGCGAATTATTTTGTCCGAGCTCGACGGTGTTCCAAACGTTGGCAGTGATGAACTTAATGATGCTCGCGACACTGCGATCGAGTTACAGCTAACAAATCGGTTTGCAAACGTGAAAGGTGTGCACTCTTAAAGGGTAAATTCTTATACTTCAGCTTATGCAAATCTTGCTCATAGATCCTGCCGCCGACGAGAAAGCTCTCTGGGTTCAAGCGAAAAGAGCTGTGCTAGCGATTCTACGCGTTCAGCCCGCGAAAGATCTTGTTGAATCATTAATGCAACCGGTGACTGATCAGCACGAAGCGGCTTGGGAGGGGATTCTGGAGGAGATGGAGCAAGAGCAAAGACGTCACCAGAGACGGATGCCTTCATCAACAGCCGCAGATTCGGCGTATCGCTTGGAGGATATTCGATCGTAAGTTCTTGTCAGAGGAGCGTGTTTCGGCAGTATCTAATATATGGTTCGTCTAGTATGACGTTCCGTGAAGTCAAGGCCCATGCGATCTACTTCCTCTTAGAACTGGAGAAGCTTGGCAGAATTTCTCGCATGGACGGCTATCAAGGGATTCTCAATGCGATCGCCGGTGATGTTCGCAGCAAGAACCGCCGTCGCGTTCAGCGTCAACACGAGAAGGAGAGCATGGAAGAGGCACAGAAGTATCTCGCAGAACGCAAGAAATACTTTGAAGAGCAAATCAACAGCTACCACAACTACGTTGAGACTGCGATGAATACTATGCAACGCGGAAAGGGGTAGGTACCACTTGTATGCACAAGAATAATCGACTCATCCACAGTCCCATTTGCAGGAAGAGACGGTTCGTCATACCATTTACCCAGCAATACTTCCATATGCGCGAGCTGCAGAAGGCGGGTAAAACGCCCCAGTTTGGCTCGTTCAAGTATACTGCACAGTATTTCTACAAGAAGGGGATCTTACTATCAATCGATCAATACTCTCCACGTCAATTCGACAAGATTGATATTGTTATTTCCTCCAACAGTGTTGGCGTATTCACCATTGAAGTCTTCAACCATGCGCTTGGAATTACGAACCGGGTGGCATCAGCAGACGTAAAGATGGAGGACTTACTGCAAGCTCAGTTTGACAACCGTGCATCTTATTCATTATTCGACGGTTTGGCCAAATTCAACCTCAATCTTTTATTGTGGCAGATCAACAAGAAGTAGGTTACAGCCATTGCTCTCAGTTTTATCCGCTCATAACGTCTTTGTAGGTTTTATGTATGATCGCGTATTTATACTTAGTCGCCCCTTCCCATTGCATGTCGCATTCTGCCACTCCTACTCTATTATCCCGGCCCTCATGGTTGTCCGCATTGCCCACATGTACCGTTACATCTAGCTCGCAGTCAAAGTGTATTATCTTGTTGCTTTGCTTTGAAATCTACCAATTCGTCACCTATGTCAAATCATGTTCACTTGTTGCTATCTATAGATTTTCTAGTAGCAAATCCTCTTACCGTTGTGTGAACGATCAGAGGTATGTTGTTTATCAAGATAGCCCGAGACTTCTCCGCTAATCGCGGCCGTTGTTGCATGGACAGGCTCGCGTTACCTGAGCCGAATGACATCACTACGCGGTGTGCCAGGCCGATCGAGGATTGTTCGATCTCGTATGATCGTTGGAATAAGCGCAGCCCGTCGTTGAAGCTAAAGTCTAATTGCGTGTGTAACTCAGCGGTGGTGCGTACCTTTTCCTCATTGATGCTGTGGCTGGTGACATCAGTCGAACGGAGTATTTTACGTCGGTGAGTCTGGACGCGAGCTAGGTCACCAGATATTCATGCACGGCCGCTCGGCTAAGCTACAGAATCAGTTGCGTGTGGACGGGCAAGATGTTCGCTGTTCTCGTGGTGTCTCTTGGAGGATGACGGACCGACCGGGACGAGCATATTGCAATATGTCCCTGCAGAATTCGCAGCCTCTGGGCAATCTCTAGGTCTTCCCTACCATTCTATCCATGAATTCTGATCTGCTGACGGAGTAGCGGAATTAGAAGCTTCAAATTCGTAAGTGTATCCCATGCGTGCCTGTTTCCGTGTACCCATGTACCTGTAATCATGACCCCATTTTCCGGCTCGAAACCCGGCATTTGTCGCTGTAGAATGCCTATAAAATGACCCCTCTGACCAACGCTGGAAGCGGATCCGATCCACAGCTCACAATGCTTCCGATTCTTAGTGTCCTCTTAGGGCTTTTGCTCTGCGCGTTTGTGAAAGCTGGTACTGTCATCGTACCCGGCGCAATCTGGTACGACACCGACGGCAACGAAATACAGGCTCATGGTACGGGCATCTTGCAGGTATATTGACACATTATGTACGCGCGCATGCCCTGATGAAGTGCTTCAGGTTGGGGATATCTTCTACTGGTTCGGCGAGGACAAAGCGGACAACAGCGCACTTTTCTCAGCTGTCACATGCTACACTGTGAGTCCCTCTAAGGTATACGAGCCCGTAAAATAACTTCCTGGACACTATTGAGTCTACGGACCTGGTAAACTGGGCCAGACAAAACGATGCATTGACACCCATAGCCGGAACTAATATTTCGTCGTCCGATATTGTTGAAAGGCCGAAAGGTGAACGGTCCATTTTTGTTTGAGTTACTGGTCAGGACTTGTTGAACATTGTATAACCCGTCAGTGATCTACAACGAGAAGGTCTGAGCTTTCAATTCGCCCCGGTCTAATGTCCTGATTACTCGCATTGTACCTCACAGAATGCAGAATATGTTATGTGGTTCCATTCGGACAATTCGGAGTGCGTAGACTATGTTGTCTTTTACTATCAGAATATTGATGCCATAAATACAATCAGTTATGGTCTTGCCATGGTAGGTGTCGCTACTGCAGAAACACCTTGCGGGCCCTATGCCTACAGAGGCAGTTTCAACCCGCTTGGAGCACAATCGAGAGACGAGAGTGTCTTCCAAGACGGTACGTATCCAATCTGCAGTTCTTCAGCGTTCTAATCGATGCTTCCCGTGCAGACGATGGTACGCTCGTGCCATCTGTCCTTCTCTGACCAGAAAGCTAACACAAATCAAGCTGAGCGAACTGCATACTTATTGTATGCCAGTGACAACAACCAAGACTTCAAGATCTCACGAATGGACTCCAATTACTATAACGTCACCGAAGTCGTATCCGAGCTAGAAGGTGAGTGTGCATAAAGCATCGCGTCGAGCTGCTCTTGATAAGGGGGTCTACCTGGCAGGCGCTACTTTAGAAGCACCTGGAATGGTTAAGCGGGACGATGCGCGTGCTCTGCTGAATCATTCAATTGCAACCACTCACTTTTCTACGACAGGTGTACTGGCTGTTTGCCTCTCATACAAGTGGCTGGGCCCCAAATCCCAACAAGTACTTCTACTCGACAGTAGGTGTCCTCGTGCTCACAGCGCTGTTCTCTCAACGACGATTCCAAAACAGAGCATATCTGGAAACTGGTCCGCCCAGGCTGATATTGCCCCAGAGGACACAAACACGTACTGTTCGCAGAATGCGTATGACCTTCCTTTGGGGTCAAATGCGATCTACATGGGAGACCGCTGGGATTCGATTCTCCTGGGGAACAGTCGCTACACATGGTACCCGCTGAGCTGGGCTTCCGGGGTTCCGCAAATTGTCTATGCGGACTTGTGGAAAGTTGACTACGCCGCAGGTCTGTTGGCCGTGTCGATTTGTCATAAGTCAAGGCTGATCAGGACATGAACACCGTAGGGACGTACTCCGTTATGAACGGGACGGCTTATTACGCCGCCGACGGTACATTGGGTGGGACTGCCGTTATGCTGAACAACACGTACAATGGCTATGAAGGGGTCGGATACCTAGGTAAATATGGACCAGCAAATGGCGACCAAAATGGACACACTCTGAACATGAGTCCTTGACAGGCGATGGTGGAACTCTCACTATGACTGTAGAGGGTATCGGAGCTGAGCAATGGGTGTCCCTCTACTATGCGAACGCCGACTCAACATGGAGGTGAGTGTCGTAAATCAAGTGGAAAGTGGCGACGTTCGCTGAGTAGTTTGCCGTGCGCAGAAACACTACCATAAGGTCAGTACGCGTATTGACTCCGCTTGTTCATGCATTCAATGATGCCTCTACATCAGTGTCAATGGCGGTTCGAGTGTAGTGGTGGACCAACCAAACACTGGTGGTGTCGATGTGGTCTTCAGCGTCCCCGTCCAATTGTATCTCGCTAAGGGTTCAAACACACTCCTTATCGGTGCCGACCAGAGCAGTAAGTATATACGCAAACAGCCCACCCTGTATTCATGACGAGTTTTTTGCAGACTACGCTGGGGACATGTATCAGATTTCTGTATACACAGAGAACTAGGCTTCACGAATTATGCTCCTCGAGCGAGCCAGCTACCGGCGCAGGCTACTGTTCTAATGTTACCTTGTTTGATGTACAGAACTATGCGCCTCTCGACAATTCTCCAGATGTATCGACGGCTCATATTGATGCACATTGAATATAACAGTCTCCAAATCATGATTGCTAAAACAGCCAACTACGCAAGCTGCAAATGGATATACTACATACAAAAATTTGACAGCAGTTATAATGCCAGATTATACGGAGGATACATGCGGTAAGTAAAGGGCACAGAAGGGATGTCAGCGCTGGGTATAGTTTGTCAAAATACAATCACGGGGAATTCCCCAGAATCAGTCCCGCCTGGATATAGTCGAATTAAGTTTCGCTTCATGATCGCGCACTTTGTCTCGCCGCCTCGATGTTCCTTATCATCTTCTTGATTTGTAGCGTCTTTAGCGTGACGCTTATGAGTCCCACCTTCTTCGACGGTCTATGCCACCCATCCGGTAACCTATCTTCCCCAAACCATTGTTCGATGTACGCTTTTGGAATGGCACGCTCGTCGTCGTCTTGAAGGCGTTCTTCGTCTCCCAGCTTGTCCCGAAATCCACGGTCTCCAAATACTGCAAGGGTGAGGACCGCTTCTCCTCGCGCTATCTGTGCATGCAGACTATCCAGAGGCGCATGTAAAGTAGCATCACGAAGGGCTCGCGCCCTTGCGAAGTCTTGGAGCGTCATGTAGGAATCGCATATGGATACAAGCTGGTGAAGGAGGGTAGGATCAACCGCGGAGGGTGCAAAAGGGCAGCCTTTTGGCGCATCCGCGTGCACAAGCGAGCCGTCGTGCTCGATGACGCCGTGCTTCGCCAGTTCGTGGAGGTCGAGGGACCATCGGTTACCGCACTTGATAACAGCGACGGCGGACAGGACAAGTGCCATCGGAGTGGAGATGTTGTATACGTCGGTGAGTGCATGGACCAGTAACCTCACGGTGATATTGCGACCATTGCGAGGGCTGCATCCATGGATATTAGAACGATCCTGCCACGGAATATAACCATGTTTACTCACAGGTATGCGTGATTGGACAGTGCATTCAAAGCAGGACAAGGCGAGCGACTATCGCCAGGCACGGAGGGGTGGAAAGTATGATCGGATTGTATAAACGAGACCAGCGCAGAGGACGGGATGGGCTCCATGTAAAAGGTCAAGGGATGCAGACTGGAGCCTAGGACACGCGGGGCACGGGTTTATATGCAGCGGAGGACTAATTTTATAAACTGGAAATGACTCCGGCGAAGCACAGGATACTTGCCCGACAGTGACTCGATTTGTGTCGGCAGTGCCATCGTGGTATCCGAAGGGTAAGTGAAAAAG